CTTTTTGTGACCCCATGGACTCTAGCCCGCCAGGCTCCTCTGTCCATAGAATTCTCCAGGCAAGAATATTGGAGTGGATTGCTATTTCCTCCTCTGAGGTCATTTCAAGGAAACTCTGATAAAGGTACCATGTGGCTTCTTTTACAGTGTGATCCAAGAAAGTCTTAAAACCATCCCTCCCCTTTGAAAAATAGTGGTTCCTTTTGAACACTTTTTCAGATGCCTGAAATTTTACTGTCAAATCTCCCTCTGGGTTTAAGTCTCTAATATCTGTCCTAATCCAAACTTCTGTGATTCAAGCCACGCCTTAAACTATCAGGAAGTTGACCATTAGGTGAATGACTATTTGGGGAAGGTTTTGACAGCCCAGGGAAAGGGGAAGAAGAGAACTAAAGTCATCACATTTGCTAACATGTGAGCAAATGTGACAGAGTGGGGAGGATCAAGCAACAGGCCCCTTTTAAAGTTTTGTCTTGATTTTACAAATAATTGGCAAACAAATAACTCCAGAATGTCGAAATCACCAGGATCATCAGTTAAATATTAATGTCATTCTCCCAAATGGTGGTTCCCATTACATATTTGCCTGAAAGAAAATCCCCAAAGAAAAGGTGAACACATGACAAGAGGGTGAAATCTTGTTCTATGGGCTCCATTTGGAGAAGGAAAGAAGAAGAAGTAACACTTTAGTGGTTGATTTATCTTTTGAATGATTTTTTTTTTTTTTTTGCTGGTAGGTTTACATGGTTCTTTCAAATCCTCTAGTTTAACCCAATGATTCAAGGACTGTTATTATTTCCACTTAAAAAAAAAAAAAAAAACAGCAAGGCAACCAAAAATTTGAGACACTTGCCTGAGGTTGCACAGATAATCTGGCAGAAAGGGTCTGCCTGATGTGAAAGTTCTGTTTCTGTCCCACTCAGCCTCATCAGAGGAGAAAGTTGAAGTTCTGCTGTTTTCAGAAGGGTGGAGATGTCCTTTCATGGATGATAGATACACAGCTTCTTACTGATGTATCTGCTGGACTAGCTGAGCAGCTAAGGAGCCAATATTACACCAGCAAAGAGGGAATCCTGTGCTCCCACTTTGAAATCCAACATAAGCACTGCACTACAAAATGGCAGAAACAAACCTCTGCTGGGTCATGGCTTGGAGGAATCAACCACACAACTGATTGTTCAGCATTAGGTTCAGGGAATAAAAGTCTCCTACATTAAATCAGGGCAGGTACAAAGCCAGGAAGCAGTCGTTAAGCACTCAGGTTCTGCAGTCATAGAATTGCACTTGTATGCTCACTTATAAAAAGACTTGGCCCCTCTGAACCTCAATGTCCTCACCTAAAAAATGGGGGAATAATAGACTTCATAAGATCATGACCAAATAAGATGCCCTTTGAGTGCCTCAAGTACAGGAAATGCTCCCAAAATCTTTTGTTTTTTCCTGCCTCTCTTTGAAAGAAAGTCACAATCCAAAATTCCATTTCATATAGTAATATAAAAAGAAAGGAGATATCAAAGACATTTGCACCAGCTGGACTTTGTACAACTAGGTGGGCATCAAGTATCTTCTTGGATAGTGTTTGATACACTTCAGACGTCTGGGGTGAAACTCTGGAATAGGAGGACAGCTTTGAACGTGGCCAAGAAAAGAGAAAAGGTCAAGAGAAGTTCTGTGATCTCTCACCCGGAGGAGTGCCTGCTTTCCTTGGTGTCTCTCTTTCTCCAGTGGCTTTTGTGTGGTTTCCTTGGAAGGTTTGAGGCTGGCCTTTTTCAGAAATAGTGCAGTTGTTTGGGATGATTACAGGCCATCACCATTTCCCAGAGATGAAGTTGTGTTTAGTTTGCTGACTGGCTGCCCCCTGTGCCTGGCTCAGGGAAGGCACAGATTACCCTGCTGTTTACCACTTAGCAGATCTGAGGAGGCCTCAGGAATTGGAGAGACTGACGAAGCAGGAGAGACTGTGAGGGGGGAGCCTGATCATTCCTCTGGGAAAGACTGAGCTTTGATGATGGAACATGACATCCATTTCAACAGAAGGCTCACCTGACAGTCTCTAAATATCTATGTTGGAATTCAACAAACATTAAGAAGTCAACGGAGATCATCTGAGTTTGGAGAAACCTTCCTTGGAAATCTTGAAGCCACACTGCCCAATAAAGGTAGCTTCCAGGCTTGTGTGGCAACTGATCACTTGTTGTGTGGAGAATCCACATTGAGATGTGTTGTGAAATACATGATTTCAAAGACTTAGTCCTTAAATGTAATGAGTCTCAATTTTTCATGTCAATGATGTGTAGAAATGATAATACTTAGAAACACAGGGTTAAATAAAATACTGTGTTCTTAAAATTAATTATACTTTTCCTTTTTGCGATTTTTAGTGTGGTTAATAGAAAATTTTAAATTCCCTATGTAGTTCTCAATATGTTTCTGTGGCTTAACACTTCTTTAGAACTTCACATAGAATTTGGATCCCAATTTATCACTCCAGTTACTACTTATATCTACTTGATGCCTTGACTATGATGATCCCAGGCTATTAACAACTCAAACTTATCCAGAAGGTTTCTACCCCAGGGCTTTTTGCTCTTGCTGTTTATTCTACTTTGTGCTCAGTCTCCTATATCTTCCCACATCTGGCTCCTCTTTCAATTTTTCTGGTCTCTTTTCAAATGCCTTCTCTCCAGTAAGGCCTGTGTGACTACCAACTGATCATATCAACCTATCCTATTCTCCATAGAGCACTTTATGTTGTCTACCATCCTGACTAGACTAGAACTCCATGAGAAAGTCTACTCTTTTCGTCTGCTTCCTGCACTCAGAATAGCCCTGGTTCAGCGCTGGCAAGAAATATTCCTGAATAGCTAAATGCACGAGCCTTAAGTCTGATTGAGACTATTTAAGCTGTGTTCCAACATGGCACCCTTTGTTCATATCATCCTAATGGTGCACCTGTTGTGGACTAGTCACTGTGACAGACTTGAGGGATATCATAACGGATGTCTTGGTCTCTGCCCTCAGGAATGCAGGACTCGGTAGGTTCCAGGGAGCAGCTCTGTAGACAGAGTTGTCATGTTACTGCCATGAGCCTTCTGCTGCATTTTGCTATGTACACTACTAAGGAAATAACCCAACAGAGGTTAAAAACCAAGATAACCTCAAAGCTCAGACTCCTTGTTTACCACCTGTAGCTGCAGATGGTTGTTGAAAAAGCAGCTCTCTTGTGCTCTTCTGCTTTTGAAAACAGATTAACCATTCTGAAGACTATAATTATGGGCAGGATCAGGACATGTATTTAGCTGTGGAAGACTCTAAAGTGTAGGAAGTTTGAGAAGATAGCTTGGCTCCAAAGGGCATATGTTTTCTGAGGTTTTTAAGGGAAGACTGATCTCTTAATACATCCTGAGATTACTAAAGCACGTTGAAGACCATTGTGTGGAGAAGATGTCATTTTTGTTTATTTATATTCCATAAATATGTGTGGGAAAGACATATACATTCCAAATGGTTAACCTTGGCTACCTCAGAGTTGTGGAGAAGGGTAGAATGCTAAGATACTAGAAATAATTTCATCACATGCCTCCATATTGCTTTATTTGTTACAGTGAACATGGTTAGATTTTGTACTTTCAAAAATAAAGTTTCCAGAGAGAAAACTTTTTAGAAAGAAATTCCATAAAACTTCCCTGTATTTGATAGGGGGTACTTCTCACACCTTGACTTTTTTCATCTTAGTTCTGTGCCTCAGCTACTAAAGCAAAGGCCAGTCACCAAGCTTTGTATCAAAAAGTGGTAAGTAAAGTCTGAGCTCATTTCTGGAGAATCTGATGGTGTCCTAGCTCCCCAAATACCCAGCAAGTGCCCTCATATATCACCGCTCTTTTGCCATAGTTAGGACTTCTTTAGCCTCTTTCACTGGGAGGGTATCCTTTATTGAGAGCATCCATCATAAGCCAGGTAATTAGTTTAGCTGTTCCTATTTTAGTCTGCAATCATTACTTCAAGGGTAGGCATAATTATCTTCACATCTGAGAACAGATGTGGAAACTGAAGCTCAGGAAAATTTGGTGCATGTTCCAAGGTCACAGAAATGGTTGGAGGCAGAGCCTAACTTTGTCCCTAGCCCTTTCCAATCTTGTTCCCAATTCACTACCATTTGTGCTACCTCTTTCTTAAGGATAAGCTAGAATGAAGTGTTTTGCAACTTGTTCCATAACTGAACTAAACTCTATTCTCAACAGAAGCCTAATTCCAGGCACCTGTGGAGGGCTCCTGCTCTCCAGGAGTTTTCCCCTAACTAGCCTTCCATGGAGCCTGCTGGTCTACCAATCTAACATCTCCTGGGATCCAAGGACAAGGACCTTTAGAAATCGGTAACATATAACATCATTACAAGTCACAAAGACCATTATGTGAATTAATTATCAAGGAATACATCCAGTGAACTTCCAAGGAGATGAAACCTGGGGCCAGTATAACTGGATGGGATAGTAACAGAGCACAGTCAGGAATGTCCTACAGGGGTGCCCTTGCGGGACCATGGATAACCAAGGGACACAGAGAAGGCAGATGTAGAAAAGAAAGGTGCCACTAAAAGTATTTGTCGCCAAGCAGGTCAGGCCTGAGCTCACTTGCTACGCTAATAAGGCCATGGATAGGCACAAAACAAAAAAAACTGGCACATGTGGGGTCTGCACTACCCATTCTAGGCAACAGTTCTGCAAATGCTGCTATTTGTCACAAATTCAGAGATATAAGATCCAGCAGTTCAATAAACAGAGGTCCGTCACTTCATCAAGAAGATGATTCAAATAACATGTTCTCCCAGGAGTCTGCTTCAGAGTGTCCTTCTAAGGCACCAAGGGCCAAGAAGGAGCATCTGGATATTTGCAGGGTTGGTTTACAATGGATCTTATCTAGTAATGGATTTCTAGAAGCCACCTGGACAAAAATATTGTCTTCCTTCTTCCTCAAATGGAATGTGTTTTTCCTCCCCACAGAAAAAGCGCACTTTGAAGGGTTCCATCGAACTCTCCCGAATCAAATGTGTCGAGATTGTGAAAAGTGACATTATCATCCCATGTCACTACAAATATCCATTTCAGGTAAGTCCATCAGGCCAGGGGTCTAGTTCTCCATTCCTTGGATGATGGCTGAAATGCTCAATCACTGAACGAGAAGGTGGCACAGAGATGACTTAGACCATACCCAGAAGAAATTTGCTGTGTTCTTTCAATGACACATTCATTCAACAAAGATTAATTACAAAATACTGAAAAAGTTGTCATCCCTCATTTCCCTTTCCCTCATGTCTTCCCTACCTCAAGGAAAGTCCTAATTACTCTATTCCTGGGGGAGAAAAAAAAATAATCAAGAGCCCCAAGCCTAACATTCTGTAACTGCATTTTACTTATAATTTCAAACAATAGATTACACTCCTTGGTTATAAATTGATTGGAACTTCTGGAATAAAAAGAGTCAGATTTTAAAATCTGAGAATTATCTGACAGAATTGTACTGTCCAAAACAGTAGCCACTAACCACATGTGAATGCTTACATTTAAATGTAAATTAATCCAAATTGCACAAGATTAATCAGCTCTGAGTCACACTAAGCCACAGTGAATGAATAAACATTTCACATCTTCAATAGCCACAGGCTAGTGGCTAATTTATTGGACAGCCAAGATTTTAAATTTCCATCACCGCAGAAGGTTCTATTGAGCAGAGCTGATGGAGAGTATCTTTAGTCTTTAGGTCATGACATTGTCTAAATCTTGTTACCACTCTTGATATTTATGGTTCTGAAAGAGTGGATTTCTTCTTGCACATCCTGGGGTACCATTCATGTTTGTCAATCTGAGGAGTTAATATTTCATTTTTAATGTGGCATAGGAATGAACTTTTTTCCTACTAGAAAAGTGACCTCCACAAGTTGGAATTTTTAGTACTGAAAGTAAAAGGAGTACCACGTATTTTTCTCATCATTGAAACTCTAATTACTAATGCATGCATGAAAAACAACCTGGTGAAATCCAAAGATCTGTTGTATAGTTAATAGTACTGGACCAATGTCAATTTCCTGGTTTTAAAGACATATTTTGTTACGTTAAGATATATCATTGAATCTTCCCAGTGCACCAGGCCTGAGCACTTGGGTGGAGAGGGAGGTGGGAGGGGGGATCAGGATGGGGAATACATGTAAATCCATGGCTGATTCATGTCAAAGTATGACAAAAACCACTACAATATTGTAAAGTAATTAGCCTCCAACTAATAAAAATAAATGAAAGAAATAAATAAAAAATAAAGGACAATGAAATGAAAAAAAAAGATATATCATTGAAGAAATGTGGGTGAAAAGTATATAGGAGCTCTGTACTATCTTTGGAAATTCCTAAATCACTTATTTCAAAATAAGTTTAAAGAAATCTCAGTTATATATTTATCATCTAATATCTTACTCTTTCATATACCAGAATTTTTTAAGCACTGAAAAATTAATGCGAGAAATATCTGCCTAGTTATGTGGGGAACACTTTTCTCCAGCTATTTTAATGTAGTGATGGCTTATCTGCACAGCATTCAAACATCTAGCTAAAAGGGGCACCAGTCCCCAGATCACCCAGATGTTTGCCTTTTTGACGACAGCCTGAGGCCCCACTCTCAGCCCCGTAACCGAGAGGGGCCGCTGTCAGTCATCCACCTCCGACTTCACAGCTCACCCTGAACTTTCTGTGTGTCTCCAGGTTGTTCACGACAACTACCTCCTGTATGTGTTTGCTCCAGACCGCGAGAGCCGGCAGCGTTGGGTGCTGGCCCTCAAAGAAGGTAATTCACCTCCTGTGCGACTGAATCTCTGAGACCTCTAGATCCTCGAGGAGGCTTGAGTTCCATGATCAAATAAAGGGCAGCTGATGGTCAAATATTTCTTCCTTTTGGTGTTGGTGGGGACTCCCAAAGTTTCAACTTGGGCAACAACCCAGTACAGTACAGTATCAGGCAAATCCTGCTAGCCACCTATTTTTGTAAGGCTCTTAGATAAGGTTGTTTTTAATATTTTTTAATGGTTCTATTTTAAAGGGTTATGAAAGTACCTCCACAATGTATCAGTTGTGTCTCCTGGTAAGCAAAATCCAAACTATTTACTACTGGGCCCTTTAAGAAAATGTTTACTGACTCCTTGTATTGAATGAAGAACAAGAGGATGGGCCCTCGAGTTAGAGGATCTGGGCTTGAATCCTGGCTCTGCCACTCACTAGCCATGTGTGTTCAGGCAACTCAACTGCTCTGTGCTTCCGTTTCCCCATCTATTTTTAACAAGGAGAGGAGGAGGGAATAATAATAATAGTATCTCCTACCCTGTATTATGCAAAGTAAAATAAGTCAGACAGAGAAAGAAAAATGCTGTATGTTCTCATTTACTTGAGTAATCTAAAACATAAAACAAATGAATATCACAAAACAGAAACAGACTCACAGACACAGAGAGCAAACTAGCAGTTTCCAAAGGAGAGAGGGGTGGGAGGAGGGGCAAAATAAATGAAGGGGATGAAAAGGTACAAAAGACCAGTCATAAAATAAGTAAGTCACAGGAATGTAATGTACAGCACAAGGAATATAGTCACTATTTTATAATAAGCTTGTATGTACATCATCTATAAAAATATTGAATCACTATGTTGTATATCTGAAACTAATACTGTAAGTCAGCTATATTTTAATAAATAATTTTTTTTAAAAAGCACCTGCCTCCAGAGCTGCTAAGAGTAAGTCTCTTGGAACTGACCAGGTCCATAGTCAGCACCCAAGAAATGTCAACTAGTTTTAAAGATCATTGTAAGGATACTTCTTAGGGCTCACCTTCTCGACAGCATAATCAGAACCAGCACAGTATTTACGTACATGAGATGTGGAACCAGGCTGCTAAGGTAAAAGCTCTAGCTCTGCCAATAATTAGCGTGTGACCTTGGGCAAATTCCTTGACTTTTCAGTATCTCCATTTCCTTACCTGACTAGTAACAGATAGTCATAGGGTTATTGTGAGAATTAAAAGAGTTTGTTGTTGTTGTCCAGTTGCCAAGCTGTCTCTGACTCTTTGCAACTCCATGGACTGCACCTCCCCAGTTCCCTCTGTCCTCCACTATCTCCTGGAGTTGGCTCAAATTCATGTCCATTGAGTCAGTAACGCTAGGACGTGGCAGACACTTGGAATTATACCCAAAGAAAACATTCAGTCTGTATTACTATCATTGTCATTTAGCCTGAAGGCCTGGATTTGCAGGAAAAATAGGTTCAAATATTAATCTAAGTAGCTACAGAGACTGATGGTAGGCAAGCCATCTGAAATCATGGGACCCAAGATGCCCTTATCTGAAAAATGAGAATAAATATACAAGTCTTATCTTCTTCCAAGATTGTTGTGAGTCTCAAATGGAAAGTGCCAGATAAACTGAGAAGTGCTCTCAAGTTTAACATTCACGGGCACAGAACAAACACTAACATACAAGTAGTCAAAAGGGCTCCAATTACTCTCACTGGCAGCTCTCCCTCAGTGAAGGAATTTTACTCACAGGATGTTAGAGCTGAAAGAGGCATTTGAGATAACCTGTCAGTTTTTTATACTTTTTTTTTTTTTTTCCATCAGGAAAGCCTCTTTTCTCCTGTACCAAAATTTGACTTTAAAGCCACAAATCTAGAAAGGATAAAAGCAAAGTTGCTATGGGTAGAGATGAGAGAGATGGAGTGGTGAGAATCATACCCACTGTCTTCCCTGAGTTCCCTAAGGCATTTTTGTGGGGCCCAGACACCCCACCTAACAATCCCATGGCACAGTGGGAGCTGGGAATCAAATGAGGATTTTGCTCAACCCAAAGACACACAACTAACCAAAGGCACAGCTGGATAAGAATCCAGATCTGCTGATGCCTAAATTCAATATTGGAGAAAGAAATGGCAACCCACTCCAGTATTCTTGCCTGGAAAATCCCATGGACAGAGGAGCCTGGTGGGCTACAGTCCCTGGGGTTGCAAAGAGTCGGACACGACTGAGCGACTTCACTTTCAACTTCAATATGCATGCTTCTATGTGCCCAGAAAAAAAGGCCATTTTTTCTGACTACTCTAGGTAATACTCATGCAAGTTCACACAGCAGGGTCCAATCTCAAGGAATTGTAAAGTTGGTGGCTTTTGAGTGACTGACCTGGAAATAACTCTTCTGCTGGTGCTAACTCCTTTCAGAAACCAGGAATAACAACAGTTTGGTGCCCAAGTATCACCCTAATTTCTGGTTGGATGGGAGATGGCGGTGCTGTGCTCAGATGGAGAAGCTTGCAGTGGGCTGTGCCCAGTACGACCCCACCAAAAATGGTAAGCGGTTATGAACTCCCTTTCTTCTTTGTATAATGACTGACTGCTCTGCTAGTAGGAAGTAAAGGTTCTTTGCTTCCCATCACCAAGGGTGTCCAGGATTGAATGCAAAATTTCACATTTTCAAAATTTTCAGAAGACAGTCATCTGCATCTAACACCAGTCTGTTGGTGTTTTTTCATCTCGAGCGTGTGTGTATGTGTGTGTGTGCACTCAGACATGTCCAACTCTTTGCAAACCCAAGGACTATAGCCCACCAGGCTCCTCTGTCCATGGGATTTTCCAGGCAAGAATACTGGAGGGGGTTTCCATTTCATTCTCCAGGGGATCTTCCTGACCCAGGGAGCAAACCTGTGTCTCCTACTAACCTGCATTGGCAGGCAGATATTTTATCACTGAGCCACTGGGGAAGCCTACATCTTGAGGCTGATGTCTTTATAACTCCTTGCTACTCAAAGTGTGGTTCTTAGACCAGCGGCATCATCAGCACGTGGAAGCTGGTTAGAATGCAAATTCTAGGTCTGTTGGATCAGAATTTGTATTTTAACAATATCTGGGTGCACAGTTGAGTTTGAGAAGCATTGCTATACCTTCAAGTTAGGAAATTTGAAAGGCACAGTCTCCTTAAATCTGAAGTTGTAGAGACAGCCTTATAGATATATAGAGATACACAATATTATCTATTAGAGTGGCATCATATCACACATGTGTTTATAACACAAGTTGAATTCTACACACTTGGAGGGGAAAGAAAGTAAAACAAAAAACCTGCTTATTTTACAATGTGGCTTCTCCCCGGCTTGACTTACTTGCCCTTGAACTCCACAGTCTCAGAGAGACGGAGGCCACAGCCTAAATGCAAAGCTGAAGCAAAAGATGTTGTCCTTTGGCCTTTAAAGTCAAAGACCTAGGTCCTAGGGATTGGCATTTGAATCATTTTTAATTTATGTAATGAATCTGGAGGGGGCACGTCCCAGATAGCTCAGTGCTTGCCAATGCAGGAGACACAGGTACAGTCCCTGGGTTGGAAAGATCCCAAGAAGACGGGAATAGCAACCCACTCCAGTATTCCTGCCTGGAAGATCCCATGTATAGAGGAGCCTGGCGGGCTCCAGTCCATGGGTCACAAAGAGTTGGACATGACTGAGTGAGTGAGCATGCATGCACGATGACTTTGGGCCCTGAACCCCCAGTGAAGGGCAACTCCACTCTGATGCACATTTACGTACATTACACTCCCACTTCTCACAACCATCTAGGGTAGATGGTATGATGCTGAAGAAAGAGGAGGCTTGAGCACTTCAGTACCCTCGAGGTTACACAGTGAGGAAGCGCGCTGCGGAGACGTGGCTGACTAGGAATGACGGATCATACGGGTTGTTTTCTTCCAACGCCCTTTCCTCTCAGCCTCTCTTACCCTACTTAACTCTTCTCATCTGTCAGTTTCTTTTTTGCACTAAAACCCAGTACCTCAGATTGACAGCCCAAGGCGGATGTGCTAAATGTAACACGTGGCTGGCTTTTCTGCCGCTTCCTGAGTTGCAGCCCCTCTTAGTGCCACTTAAAAAACCACTACTTCTCACCCTCCACCTTGGGAGAGAAAGTTCAGAGTTACCAGTCCCTTGGCCCAGAAAAGCATTTGCCTAGTTTTAGAGGTCAATGATTCCCTACATTAGCTCTTCGGACCATACAAAAGCCCGTATCTAATGAAAAAGAAATAGGTTTTATGTGGGTGGAATCAACCACAAGGACAGGATGGCATGGGCTTGCCAGTGACTGAAAGCTCTTTCCAAAGTCAAAGTTGTCTCCAAATTCTTGCTGGAACCTTGCTGTAGGTCCTTGGATGGGTCACTTGGCTAACAAGGACCATGGTGTCCTCATCACTAAAATGGAGGGAGAAATTTTAGGGGTCTTAAGATGAAATATTCTCTAAACTCCTTTCCAATTCTGAAATCCTTTGAATCTGTTTCCATTTTGCAGTTTTCTCCATGCATGTAGTGGCTATTCCTAGGGACACAGTATTCCGCTCCACTGGGTGGTACACACGTTAGAGGTGTGCAGAACATCTGAATGACTCACCGGGTCAGGGTTGGTCATGCTAAGCTCCTCCTCAAATGAAGCCAGGGTCTAACCACTGCACAGTCACTCTGCTGATGGACCTACTGCCATCTCCTCATCTGAGTCTGTTCTTATTCTCCCTTCTTCTGGTTTGGTTTAAGTAACCACATGCACCATAGTTTTGACAGACTCGAGAGCAGTTTTCAAGAAGCAAGGCTTGTAGAATTCCCAATGTTGGGCACAAATACAATGAGGGACTAAGAGGATAGGGCTTTGGGATTAAAAAAAAAAAGCCACACCTGGTGTGAGTTCCAGCCCCTCGGTATCCTTGCTCTGTGATTTCATATTTGTCACTTAACTTTCTGAGTCTCTTGGCCAGCTTTCTCATCTGTAAAATGGGAATGATGATAATAAGTGGTTACTTTCTGGGGCTGCTGGGAGAGTCAGTGGGGTTGGGGAAGCTCCTAGCACCGTTGTTGGCACTTAGCCGGCTCTGTAAATGGCAACTGTGTCTGCTAGTCATTCCCTTTGTGGACAGAAGAATCTGAAGCTGAGAGAGTACGTGTGTGTCTGCCTGGGAAGTAACAGAGGTCGCTGAATTTAAAATGGGCTCTGTTAAATCAACCCACAGGCTTCCTGGGTGGCTCAGTGGGTAAAGAATCTGCCTGCAATGAAAGAGATGCAGGAGATGCAGGTTTGATTGCTGGGTCAGGAAAAGTCCCTGGAGGAGGGAATGGCTACTCAGTCCAGTATTCTTGCCTGGAGAATCCCATGGACAGAGGAGCCTTGTGGGCTATAGTCCTTGGGGTCTCAACAGAGTAGGACATGACTGAAGCAACTTAGCAAATATTCAACCAACAGCAGCACCCACTTATGCAGCCAGAACTAACCCCATGTACAAGTTTCACTGCACACAAACTTCACACAGAGGGGGAGGAAGAAAGGTAAGAGCAAGGCCAGAGGAAGAAGAGATCAGGCACAGAATACTCAGGGCTAGAAAGGGCTCAAGACCACCCAGCTTGTATGTGGTGGAGTTGGGGTTAAGGTAACTGGCTCTTGGCACCAAGTTGAGTGCTGTAATGGAACCATGTTTCCCATTATGTATGTATGTTTCCTTTTTCTAAGTGAATTGCACACCTAATATCCCAGCTTGCCCTTGATTGTGGAGAAGGCAGTGGCAACCCACTCCAGTACTCTTGCCTGGTGAATCCCATGGACAGAGGAGCCTGGTAGGCTGCAGTCCATGGGGTCGCTAAGGGTTGGATATGACTGAGAGACTTCACTTTCACTTTTCACTTTCATGCATTGGAGAAGGAAATGGCAACCCACTCGTGTTCTTGCTTGGAGAATCCCAGGGACAGGGAGCGTGGTGGGCTGCCATCTATGGGGTCGCACAGAGTCAGACACGATTGAATCGACTTAGCAGCAGCAGCAGCCCTTGATTAAGGTGTCAGCACAGGGTCTGGGCTCCAGTGTCAATGTGTGATCTCTTCTCACCACATCCCAGATATGGCTGCCCAGTTCCAAGTCAACCCCCTGCAGAGATACGGTGCTCACCACCTGTTGATGCCACCCACCCTCTGCTTATCTCTAACTGTTCAAGAAGTCTTTGAACTGAGCAGAAGCCTAGACACTGCCTCCCCGTACCACACAGACACACAGCTTCAGTCCACTGATTCCACGCTGGGCCTTTTTATTGCCTTAAACCAGGGGTTCCTAACCTCTGAGATCTAATGCCTGATGATCTGAGGTGGAGCTGATGCAATAATAATAGAAATACAATGCACAATAAATATAATGCACTTGAATCATCCAGAAGCCACCCCTTCCTCCACCCTACTCCCTGGGTTTGTGGAAAAATTGTCTCCCACGAGACGAATCTCTGGTGCCAAAAATACTGGAGACTTCTGCCTTAAGGGAGAAATCCTGAGAGACACAGATGAAGAGATGAAAGGAAAGAGAGAGGGAAAGAGAGAGCAAGAAGAAAGGAGAAAGGAGGAAAGAAGGAAGAGACTGCAAAGAAAGACAGCGAGACATGGAGACACAAAGACATAAACAGAGAGGTGTTGAGGTGTTGTCTGGAGGAGTCGGTGAGAGCAAATACTCAGAGCCTTAAGATAGCAGCCCTCTCACAAAGCAGCACGACAACCTCTCGCCTCATCCACCCTCTCTCCAAGCCCACAGGGGCATCAGGAAGCCAGTGAGTCACGGTCCCCCTGAGTCACCAATTCCAAGTCCTGGTTCAGCAGGTGGGGGTGCCTTTGTCGAGGCTCTGTGCCTCTGAGAAAGGACATACACTGAGACCGGGGAACCTCTGCACTAGGCTTTTCCTGGGGTACCGGAAGAGGGGCTTCTGGAAGTCTCTGGCGTCTCCTGGAAAATGAGGTCAGGAACATGCAGGCTGAAAGAGAGAAAGCCCAGGTCCTGTGTCTCAGCCTTTCTCCTGCTGTTCTCTTTGGGGCCCCTTTTCTCTGAAAAGCCCCCAGCCGTTCATCTCCAGCTGGGCACATTCGGTTTCACGCTCATTTTCTTTTTCTGTTTTTCTTGTTTCAGCTTCAAAGAAGCCTCTTCCTCCTACTCCTGAAGACAACAGGGTGAGTGAAAGCACAAGGTCTGGGCTCGGGGAGGCGGGGGCCCAGGGCACCTCAAGCTGCTGCTCTGGTGTCATCCTGCTTGGGTTTCCCATCTGCTCAGGTTTCTCAACCCTGACCTCATTGCGATGCAGCTGAACTCAACACTGTGGGTTTCTTGGGCCCAGCTTGTCTCCTGGGTGGATTCAGGTAAAATGAGCACTCAGCTGCCAAAATCTTCACTCCACCACCTTCACTCAACAAACATTTCTCGGTATCATACTGTGCATCCAAGTACCTTGACTAGGTTGGGGCCTAATAACAGCTCACAGCCACATAAAATGGTGTATTTACTCTACCCTTTGACAGACAAGCATTTTGGAAGCATACACCTGAGAACACTTCAAATTCTTCAAAGCAGGTCCATGCTTTTACTAGTCATTTCAAAACTCACTATCTGTTTTGGCCACCTCAGAGGGTTATAGTTTCATTCTCATGTGAAAGCTTGGGAAAGCAAGTCCCACGAGAGGTTATCTCAAGGCCATTCGGTAACTTGGTAGTCAAGAGAGTAGGCTAGAGGGTTCCTGGTGTGGTGGTCTTTAACTCGAGTGGTCGTTCCCAAAATGTGGTCCCTGGACCAGCAGCATCAGCATCACTGGGGAGCTGGTTAGAAATGCAAATTCTCAGAACCCCTTCCCCCGCTGCCCAACCTCACCACCCCCTAAGACCTCTGACACGCAAAGCTTTAGGGAAAGGGACCAATAATCTGCACTTTAAGAAACCTCAAGATGATTCTAAGGCATGCTGGAGTTTGAGAAACACTGGTCTAATATACTGACTTGCAAGACTTAAGTGATATCAAGTCAATTCTCGGGAAGCTATTTAGTCAAAAAGACAAAACAAAACAAACCAAAAAACAGGAGAAAAAGCAATCTTAGCCCTCACTTTATGGTAATACCAATGCCAATATCCACATTTGAGTAACTGGTCTTTATTCCAGAACATACTGATTCTGCTCCTTCATGCTTCTTCCTGAAGGATGAACCCTGCTTTTTTTTCCAGCCAATATGGTGACATTTCAAACACTTGCAGCTTCCCCATAAGAGAAGTTCTACATCGCTCAAAACTGGACTGACTTTTAGATTTGTTGTCAGCCCTCTCTCACTCAACAAGAAAGAAGTGTATTTAAATTGCAGCAGAAAATGGGCTCTTTTCCATTTTACTTCATTCATTCATCTTCTAAAGACCATTTCACCATCACCCTTGAAAATATGGTTTGGAATCCCACTGCCCTGGCTTGCGGGTGGTTCCAATAGTCCTACCTAAACCCACACCTCTGCACCTTAGGCTGGCTTGCTCCTATCTGGTTTTTCACTATTAGTGAAGGTAAAAGTCAGAAAAAAGGGCATATCCACCTCCCTTTGGACACCACCATTTGGCTTCTCAGACTTCTTGGAGGAAAAGCTTTAGGACGCCAAGCACAGGGCTGCTGGGATCATGGTTGCAGTTTCAATCATAATCTAAATCTACAGCAATCTTGAATTACTTGAAATCACTTCTCCCATCACCTTCATGTTCTGTTCTAGACTAAGTGATAGCATCTTGAGTTGTCATCTACAGAGGCTATACTTTTAATCTGATCTGAGCAACAGGCCTGATGCTTAGTGTGAGAGAGTCTATGGACTGGGAACAGTTCTCCAGAGGGTGGAGGGTGGCTATTATTGGTCAGGATAGAAACCATTCATGATCAGAGTAATTGAGAACTCCAGGCCTCTCTAGCCTGTGGATGCAGATGGGGTTATGTTTCACTCTTGGTCCCCCCACGTACACAAGAACTCAGCCCTTCTTCGCGGCCTGTCCCCGTCAACCCAGAAGGACTTCCTGAGGGGCCACCCAGACACACACCTGTGGCTTCCTTGTTAAGGCACACTACCCCTGCCACTCCCACCTGGGAGGGCCCAGTCTCAGCTGGGCGGAGCTCTCCCCTACTGGGGTCAGGAGCTCTCAAAAATCAGGGCCATTCTGAGACCAGCAGTAGAGTGGCCAGGAGACAGGACTATTCCCCCATTCCATGACTCATCTCATCTCCTGGGCTCCCAAATAGCCCTTCTGGAGCCCAGAGTCTCAGTTTCTCCAAATGCCATCCCTTCATTTTCTCAGTGGAATCTCATGGTTCTCAATCCTATCAGACCCAGTACTCCCTTTTTCTGACAAATATTTTATAAAGCCCCCTTTATTATAACAAAAATAAATTAAATAGATAATAACACTTATGTAAACACATACTTTCTAAAAGAACCAATAAATTTTCTAACCATAATGTTTAAAAAGGAAAATAAAATAACATACAAATCCATACATGTTTTTATATATAAATATTGGGCATGACTATACTGGACAGAATAATAAAACACACCTGTATTTGAATCCTGTTAAATTTGGCAGCTCATATGCAACTGTTCCAGGAATGTAGTATCAGTGACTCAAAGACAGTATTACCATCTGCGATACATTTTCCAAAAGGACAAACAACTCTTGGTCAAGTTCTGAACTAAACAAAGTGTAATCGGCCCTCCACATAAAGGGTGGCTACCTCCTAGGAAACCAAGCACTTCATATAAGGTGGAGGCCTTCTCTGGAATATCTAACAGGACATTCAAAAGTCGTATAGGATGTGGGATGCTGCAGAGTGTTTTGCATTCTTGACCCTCTCCCATTCAATGCTAGTAGCCCACCTCAATCTTTGTGACATTCAAAACACCCCCATAGATGTCCAAAATACTCACTATGGAAAGGTTTCACATGGTTTGAGAAACCCACTCTGATCTTTGTCTTAATAATAATTAATCAATCAGTTGGATCTATAATGAGATGAATACCTTACTATATTTTTCCTTTATCCTCCTGCCCTTGAACACAATTCCTTCCTCCATTAGCTCTTAGGGTGACAGCCTCAAGCCCAACAACTCTTGTCTGTAGTACTCAATATACCATCTCACAAGCTCCACAAATAATCTAGGCTTCAAATCCAAACTGTATCAGTGTGACAATATTTTATTTTTTAATCTCCAATATTTGTATGCCACCAAATACTTAAGTGCACTCAGAGAACTTCTGATTTCCCGTCACTGAATCTCACTCTAGCCACTGATCCAATCTCTTCCCACATTTGCTATCTCACAAAGCCTGCTAACCTGTAGCAGGTGTGCCCACCCTGAACACTTGTGACTCCTTATATGAGGACCTCTTCAGTCTTCAATATCTCATCCTAAGATACTGAAAAACAGTGATACAAGCAAGAGAGCCCATCAGAGGAACAAGAGATCCTGTGGGATGTAGTAGAGAAAGCATAAGAATAATTGCTAAACTTGCCCCATCTGGGCCTCAGTTTCCTTATTCTAAACAAAAGAGTGAACTAAATGATCTCTCAGAGGCATTCCAGCTCCAACAGTCCATGATTCTATAGATCTGGACAAACCCAAAAATAAAAGTAGGGAAGCATGAACTAAATGATGTAGTGTTGACTTCATCACCTTTGCCAAGAATGTGATGCTTCTAGCAGAGAAGCTGTGAGTTATGACATGGCTTAAGTAGAGAAACAAGATATCTGTGACAAGCATAAGTGCCTGGAATTCACTGAGAGTCAGAGTTTACCACTTGGAATGGGAGAGGCGGTGAATTCCAGGTAACGCGTGTCTTTGTGTCCTATTCCATGTCACGAGCCTGACAATAAGAAAGCCAACCAGAGGAAGGCAAATGGCCTCAGCGAGCACCCCCAGTGGATGTGAGGCACTGGTGTCGGACCTGGCATAGGTCCAAGAGCAAGTTACAGCTCAGGGACTTGCTGACCTTGCTTTCCACAGGCTACCTCCTTTCTCACATCTTTCCCTCCTCCAGCGGTCACTTGGGGAACTTGAAGAAACTGTGGTCATCGCTTTGTATGACTACCAAACGAATGATTCACAGGAACTCATGCTACAGCGCAACGAGGAGTACTACCTGCTCGACAGCTCGGAGATTCACTGGTGGAGGGTTCAGGACAGGAACGGGTAAGGCGCCTGGGCGGCTGCTGGCCCAGCTTTCGAGGGGAGGTGGGAACAAAGGCTGTCCTGCCTCTCTCAGACAGACCATGGCACTGACTTAGGAGAGGAGGGCAGAGGCAGCGGAGGAGGAAGGAAGAAGGTGCTGAAAAGGGTCTTCCCCTTCTCAGAAGGGCCTGGGAGGCAGTCACTCACCAGACTTACTCCCTGGACCTTATCAAGCCAGGTCCCAACCTCCAAACTCATCTAAAAATCTTCTGGGTTTTACCACTGATATCCACAGTTTGGGAGAACGGCAACTTGTTCCACAAAGCACCATTGTTTTTGAGTGCTTAAATGAGGCTGAAGGTGTACATCCCATTGTGAGGGTCTTATTGTTGGTGGAAGCAAAGGGAATGCACAGATGGTGCAGATTGGTGGTTACATTAGGAAGCATCAGGGAAAAAATACTAAAGATTTAGTGAAGCCAAGAGCCTGTGAACTAGCCATCCATGTGATTCATGGAGAAAATAAAATCATACAAATACAATTTACCCTCAATTGGACTTTTGAATGAAAAAAAATCTTATGACCCTTTATCTGAACTGAGCTACAAGAAAATTACTGTTACTGACCTTTAGAATGCTCTGGGATATATATGAGTTTCATACTAGTGGTTAGTTTAAAGTTATCAGATTTACACTGCTTTATAAGGCTGCATTTTTTCCTTTAAAGATCAGAGATATTTACCTATGTCCCAGGATATTCTCCAGAATCATCTCCAGAAGATGATTTCAATAACTGCATAAATCCAACATAAAAATGTACAATAATTTAGCAAATTTCCTTCTTGGGTGCTTAGGCTGTTTCTAATATTCTTAAAATATTAACAATGCTACAGTTACCATCTTTATATATTAAGGGTTTAAACATTTTCAAAGTATGAGATTATTATTAATTTTAACATATTTTTTAAAAGAAAATGAAAACACTCCATTACTGCAATATCTGGATAGCCAATGTCGATGTTTTATATTACAAAAACTGACAACAGTTTAAATAAGTTAACTGTTTAACTGTTTAAATAACAGTTAAAAATAAGCCACCCTCCATTTGTCTGCATATCAGTTCTAAAAGTATTCATTGTTAAGTTACTTGTGCATCCTAGGCAAAAGAGTTATACATATAGAAATGCATCCTATTTTTCATTTGCATTAAGGTGATTCATTCTGATCTTCACCTTGCTTTTAACTTTTAATGATATATCTTAAAGATATTTTCATATCAGTGCATACAAATCTACCTTATTTTTTAAGTAAATGTATAGTTTTAGAATGTATGCTTGTATTATAAATATTTAAACAATATTTTATAGTGGGATATTTAGTTTCCAGGTTGCTTTCTTTGTTGTTTCAAACAAGGCTGCAATGAAGATCTTGCATTGCCCATGCTCATGTAACTTAGAAATCTTTTGAAATACATATACTTTTGAAAACATATTTTTTCTTTGGGAAAAAATACATAACTCACATTTCTAACTATGGAACTGGTGAGTCAGACTATGTGACATCTTAATTTTAAAAGGTAAGTCCCTCAAAAAGCTTGCCAAATTTTACATTCCCCACCAACAGGGTATTGGAGTGCCAACACTGCAGTGAAAGTGTTAGTCGCTCAATCGTGTCCAACTCTTTGTGACGCCATGGACTGTAGCCCACCAGGCTCCTCTGTCCATAGAATTCGCCTGGGTAACCATTGCCTTCTCCAGGGGATCTTCTGGACCCAGGGATCAAACCTGGGTCTCCCGAACTGCAGGCAGATTCTTTTCCATCTAAACCACCAACGAAGCCCAACACTGGGTATCATTAAACTTTAAAAGGTTGGGGGGGGGGGCAATCTGATGAGCAGAAAAAGAGGTACACAAACATTTTTAGGGTACAGACTTTACTTTTTACATATATCATAACTTACATTTTCAAGGCACCTTCTCTTTAAGTAGTCTTATCAATTCCATTGCAAGGGAAGTAAAGGGGGGTTAGATCAAAAACTGTGGTCTCAGAAGCAGTATCACTTGCTTGCTGAGAACAGACCCAAAAGCCCCCTCACCTGGAACCTCCCTCTCTAGTTAATGCGGGGAAACAAACAAGATCAGTCACATCACCTTCTCTTTGCCTATTATGGGGAGGCTCATTTCAGAAACAGATTCAAGACTGCCTGGCTCCACAAACACCAGAGGAACTTACTAAGAAATTCATCCCTTCAACCAACTGACATTTCTTTAGTACAACTTATGTGCCAGGAAATTTCTTCTCCTAGGTTTCACTTCCCCAAATGACAGTTTACCCTTTGTTCAATGGCCCGTGGAAAGGCTCAGCTCTGTACTTCAAAAGGCATCACTGAAGACACCCCACAGGCCAATCAGGGTGTGTGGGAATTTCCCTCATGTGCTTTGTAATCGTGTGGTACAGCGGAAAGTACACAAGATGTGGAGACAGAAGACTCGGACTTGACTATCAGCTGCTTTTGCTATACAGGGCCTTTGGAAAAGTCACTTAACTTCTGTGAATCTATTTTCTTACCTGTAAAATGCAGATGGTAATATCAGCTTTTCATCTCAGAGTGTTGAGAAAATCATTGAGATAAAGAAAGTGAAAGGGCTTTGTAAATTCTATATCCACACACGAGAATTATCATCATTTTGTAGATAATCCAGTTTTGGTTGGGATATTAAAACTGTCATTTTATATGAAAGCAAAATAGTATTTGACCTAGTAATATAATTGTAAACATATGGTGTGGCAAAAACAGACATAATTAAAAGGAAATCCAAAAGAAAGACATAAAAGACAACATATTTGAGAACAAGTTGACTCCTATTAGTTGGAATTGACTACCTTGAGTGCTGACTTAAGAAGGATTCTGTGGCTGGATGTCCAGTTCTCCAAAGAAAGCATAATACCATGACTGACTAGCCATGGGTATAAGATATAAGATATCCTGTATTTGGCATCACCATTCTTCATTTCTTCACTCCTCAAAACAATTCTGTGAAATAGATTACACATTTCCCATTAAACATAAATCACTAGATTGAAAAAAATTCAAACACTTGATGGAGTAAAGAGCAAGAAGTTATGAGACATCTTTTCACAGAAGGCACAGTCTGGAGGGATTTTATGTGTGATCCAGTTTAGGTCCTTCATTTTACAGGTACAGAATCAGAGGCCTAGAAAGTGGAGGAGACACTGCTTTCACCTTGTAGTATTAAATGTGACAGTGAATGTGATAGTGTTTTGAAAAGTACTAACACAAGTGTAAAGTATTTTGATGTTCTTACCAGTCTCTTGATCCATATGTGTTTGTTTATACACAATTTATTCCTGCTCAAAAGAAACTCCTAACCCCAAATCCAACATAGTTTTATTTCATTTTTCTCATGTTTTATCATTTATGTTTGAAGGAGCACAAATAAAAAACAGTAGGCAGGCCTTGAATTAAAAGTTTACATGGTTGACTTGCAGTATGTTTTGGGACCTGTGGTTGGAAAGTAATTCTTTATATTTTAATTAATTTAGTTTCTTAACTATAAAATGCTAGCACTAAAGTGGAAAAATACTGATTATAACACATACACAGATGTTTCCTATTAGAAAATAAAGACCGAACATTGATATTTTTTCCAATAGAGGAAATTTTCACAATGAAGAGACTAGCAAGCAGAGCTAATAAAGTAAAGTAACTATTTCTTATTTATTATGGCTCAAATTTTAGTAATAAGATCTATATAGCCTTTAGCAGATAGCAGGTTGTTATTTTTAGTAATTTTTTATTTGAAAATTTTAAAATGTCTTATCCTGAATGCTAAACAAGACTTCATCTTTAAATGACATCTAGTTGATTAAATCCATGAAGTGGAGATGTAAAAATTAGCTTTATATTAATATAAACACTAATTTCCCTTTAAACAGGCATGAAGGATACGTTCCAAGCAGTTATCTGGTGGAAAAGTCTCCAAATAACCTGGAAACCTATGAGTAAGATTTTTTTTTTTTTTTCAAAAAATTGGTGCTAATTGGTCTTCTTAGATTAGGAGTGAATCATTGGTTAATTATTAAGATACCAGGCATTTTCTCTTTTTGACTTGCTTTCATACTCAGAACCTTAAATAAACAGCTGGGGACCACTTTAAATAGAAGGGGAAGGATATGTGTTCTCATCTCCCCTTTTACCAAAGTAATGTTTTCAGATGCCTGCACACATTGTAGTCAAAGGAAAAGTTTCTCCTGGGAATTCCAGGAATATTGATCTTATACTATGAACATTAGATCTAATACAGACTGATTTAAAATATGGTTTAACGCAATACTTCCAATACCAAGATAGCAGACAAACAGATAGGCATTAAACATCTCCTTAGTTTGTGTTGTTTATTTCAGACTGTTATTTAAAAGGAGAGTTCACAAACAGTTTTAGTGGAATTATTCAATGTTTAATAAAATCCAAGTGTAGAGAACAACCTACTTACCATGAGCATATATTTCCCAGCTCAGTTGCTAGAAGGCCCAGAAGCAATAATACTAGAGTAGCAATGTGCATGCTCAGATTCTGGTTTTTAAATAACAATTCCTACTAAAAACAACTGGACATCCTGGAGAAATGGCTTGGAGACTCAGAGTTAGGGCAAGGAAAGAACAAAGATGAAATTGGAACATTTTGATGCACCAAAAAATTAAAGAAGTACCCCCTAATTTTTTGTTGTTAAGTAAGGTGAACACATTGAGTGAGCACAGAAGTCAGATTTAAAATGCCTCTTCTGACAAAATTTGGATAATCTGAGTATCAAAATAAATAATGACAGTAATGAACTATAATCACTGAATAAAATAAGAATCCATCATAAATAAATACTTTGATAACTAAATAAATAAAGGGACAAGAAGAAAAAACTCCTTCTCACCATGAAATACCAAGTAATGAATGCAGAAGGAATTTTAAAGTGAAAAACCATCTTTTTATAGTTTGAAGTACCAACTGATTTGGGCAAGAATCATCAATGAAAGTTACAAGTAGGTGGTAAAAGTTTGATATTTACATAGTTTCAAAGTATCTTCTTACAAATCACTTAGTAAAAAGAGGAAATACCTGGCAGACCCCATCTTAACCAAACAATCCAAGTTCACATCAATAAGGGGGCAAGCAGACATCGTGCATCTCCTGACATGATACACGGAGGACACAGCATCACTTCTGTCATACTCCCACCCAAACATGCGTAACCTGAATTAGTCATGAGGAAATAACAGACAAATCCAAACTGAGGCATAGTCTACAAATAACTGCCCTGGGCTCTTCAAAAATGTTAATATCATGAAAGACATGAAAGACTAAGAAATTGGTTCACATTAAAGGAAACGGAAGAGATGTAGTAACTAAATGAACCAGCAATCCTGGGTCAATCTTGAACCATAAAAAAGCAAACCAAAAAAAATAGTAATACGAAGCATATTATTGGGATAACTGATGAATCTGAATAAAGTCTAAAATTAGATAACAGCATTGTGTCAGTGTTAAATTTCATGATTTTGGTAATTACTATGGTTATATAGGTGTATATTTTATTTCTTAGAAATACATACTGAAGTACCTATTAGAATAATGTTCTAGTTTGGACACACTACAGTTTGAAGAACTCTATTTTAGAAGATACAAGGGGTGAGAGTAGTTAAAGAATATTAATTATTTTGGTCCATTTCATTTCTCCTTCAAACTTATACATATTTCATTTTAATGTTAAAACATAGATAAGGAAAGAAGGAGCCATGTGAGAACATGCACATGACAAAATGACATGATTATGTTCCTTAGAAGTTAACAGATTGTAAGAACTGTATCTGGCAGGTGTAACTCCTGAAAGATGTGAATTTGGGGGATACAGCATAGCAAACTAGGCTTTTCTGGGGGCAGACAGAAAATGCTTTAATGATTTTTCCTTAAGTCCCTGGTACATGATAGTTACAGGCTTTATATGGTGGTGATAAGAGCATGGGTTCTGGAGCCCCAATGCCTGGGTTCAAATGCTGGCTACTCCAGACTAGCTCACTGACCTTGGGCAAGTCTCAAAACCTGCTGATAACACTTCCTGACAACAATAGATGAGCTCTACATTAGCTAATTATTCTTTGCAGTCCTGAAATTCTCACCAGGATATGGCTGGAGCTTCCCCCCAGCAAACTTTGATGGAGTCCACTCTGACTCAGTTGGACATGAGTTTGAGCAAGCTCCAAGAGTTGGTGATGGACAGGGGGGCCTGGCGTGCTGCAGTCCACGGGTCGCAAAGAGACGTGACTGAGCAGCTGAACTGAACTGAACTGAACTGAATTAGTCAGAGATGTGATTTCAGCCTAGTTAAGGGCCAATGCAAAAGAGAGTAATCAGGGCATACCCAGGAAGCCAACATTCATACTGAGGCTGTTTTAATGGAAACTTATAAAAAGTCAGTTAGTGCCCTTTTATAAACCTGTATAATACTAGCTTAGAGTCATCAGTCATGAAACTTCCAAAGATGATACCACATTGCATTTATCTGTTACATGTTATCTGTTGTTGCTTGCTTGAGTAGTGTTTCACACACCCAAATTACTGGCCAGCCAGGCACAGAGCTGGGCTACTAGTTTCAAATGCTCTGAGGTGTTTGAAGAAGAGCTTTTAGTGCTATGTATGTTGATGAACCCAAACTATAAAAGTGACATTGAATTCATAGTGTACTTAGATTTGCTCTTCCCCACTGTCCAAATCATTCCATCACAGTGCATTGGTTCATAAAACTGTCTGACATGAATTATTTCATGGTAAGATCTATTCTTTGGTAGCAATAAATCTAGAAGTTATCTTTTTTTTTCCGATTTATATATTTAATCTATTATTCAAATTGATCATAGAAAATTTGATTTTAAAACTTCTTCAGAGAAGAGATGAGCCACTTATCCTGAGAAAATTAGCCTGAAATCTTAAGAAATTAAAATAGTTGTATGATAAAATCAGAAACACAAAATTAAGCAATATTGTGTTATTACATGAACTCCATGACACATTTTCCTTTTAAACTAACTTTGAAGTTCAATCTCAGGTCAGTAAACTTTGTAAAAGTAGAAAATATGTGAATGTTTACCTTATTTTTAGCAGAATACATCCATTAAAAATTTTTAGTTTATTCAACAAATAAATTTGGCACTCATTTCACAAGGAATGTAGCAATACCTAAAGTTTTTCTATATTTGCATTGTTAACAAAGATAAACTAGCCTTATGGGACACTGTCAATGTTATTCATACAGGAGCTTTTCTGCAGCTGGGAAAAATATAATTATTTTGCAGAAGATCTTGGAAACCAGTCTTATAGAAGAAAATGCTACAATCATTTTTAAAAGATATTTGCTACACTTTCAAATTTATGTTCAACTTTTATAGCTGTCCTAGCATCATTCTACTTATAACCATCCACTGACTTACAAAATAGAGCAGAAGATAAATGTTTTCTAAAATTTAAATAAGGAAAATTTCCAACATGCACAAAAGTCGAGAGAAAAATAAAATGAACCTCCATGTACTCAAAACCCCACAGCTTCAACAATTATCAACATTTTACCACTTCTGATTCATTTGTTCCCTTCCAATTAAACATTGTATTACCTGGAAATGGTTCATACTTTTGCTTTTGAGTTTGAAAGTATTGGTAGAAGCAAAAAGAACAAAAAATTCTCAGTTATTAATTGTCTTTCATAAGTAAATAATTAAATTTTTTAAATATCATTTTTCTATGACTTGTTCCTGCTTTCAGGTGGTACAATAAGAATATCAGCCGAGACAAAGCTGAAAAACTTCTTTTGGACACAGTAAGTCTCTTTAACCTATCTTGTGGCTTCAAATAAAATGAATTGTGCTACTTTTTGTCAGCCAGGTTGTGGTTTGTGCTAATGCAGTGAGCTGATGTGTTGGATTAAAGTGATGTCTGGTACAAGTATAAAAGTATTTTGGGGGTTTACAGGCTTAGCATACATCAGTATAAGAAACCTGGAGAGGATCAAAGGTCTTGGTATTAACATGTGAATATGGCCACCGCTTCAGTGGGTGGTCTTTGCCGCCACGATGGCTGGCCCTGGAGAGCTTGGGGCTGGTCTTCCCTGCCTGCCTCTCTGGTTAGGTCAGGGGTGGCTGTGATTCAGATTCCTCCTGGCTGAGCTGTGTGTGGAACTAGAGGAAATACATCACTTGTTTTTAACTTATTTTTCAAACAACTGTTCTTCTCCAGAGCCACATAGTGTGAGGACCAAGACTGATCTTACCTAGGGGTGTAAGGATTGAGAGAGAGAGGGAAGTGAAGAAAGAAGGCACGGTGTGGTGTGGAAAGTCTTGGCCCCCGCTCTGGCTCCAACTCAGTGTGTGACTTTGGGACATCTCTTCTTCCTTCTGGGCCACAGTTTCTCAATGAGTTCAAGGGAGGCACTGGACTAAGTCAGAGATGACAACGCCTAGGCTCATATGGCCACTCTCTAGTCTTGGTTCTGTGGCCGACCCTGTTGATCAGAGTTCATGGCTTTGGGATCCTGCTCAAAACAGCACTCAAGGAAGCTGCCATCAACTGACTGGCATGCAAGGGAACCCCTCTCTTCCTGGATCAGAAGATCATTTATTACTCTAAAGCTGTGCCTCTCAAAGTATCTGTGGTAATGGATTACTTTCTGTGGTTAGTTCTTAATTTCCACTTGTCACAGACTTATGCAAATTCAATGAAAAATGAATTCATAGGGGGAAAAAGCAAAAATAAGAAGCAAAGACATAAAAAATAATGCAAGTCCCATTTTTTATTAGTATTAGGTCGCTATAAATAGATTCTAAATGATTCCTCTCAATTTCTTTTTTTGTCTGGTGGTAGAGCAGTAACAGTTTGCCAGCTGGCACCCATCCACACACCACATTTAGAGCAACCCTGAAAGTTGCACATTGGGGGCTCTTGCAGAGAAACCAAATGCATGGAGGTATTGAGAGAAAGCTTTCTACAGAGAAATCAATTTATCAGTTTATTTGCTTAGGGCAGTGGTTCACAAGCCTGTCTGCACATTAAAATCACCTGGGAAACATTTTAGAAGTACCAATGACAAGGTCCCACCTCAGACTCATGAAATCATAATCTCTAGTGGATAAGGTACAGGCATTAGTAGTTCAGAGAAAAATATCTCTGAGTGAGTCTAAATTCAGATGATGTTAATAACCCAGGCTCAACACAGCCTCACCAGTGAGATCAGTAAACAGTAGGCAGGGGTTGATGGAGGGACTAGTCTTCCTATGCTGAAATGTCAACCGTGATTCTGCCATTTCACCACATACTATTTTCCGGTTATAGTTTGAAGGTATTTCATATCTTTAAGAATCTTAAACTGCAAACCTCTCTTGGATGGAATGAAGCTGGAGTGACCAATGTATCCTGGTTTGCCTGGAACAGTTCCAATTTTAAAACTGAGAGTCCGATGGTCCCAGAACCACCCCAACCACCAACTCAGTCCCGGACAAACCAGGACAGTTGATCACCCCAACAGGCAACCATTACTGGTTTGGAGAGTGACTAGGGCTGAGCTTAGAGAAAGGGACCTGGGAAGATTTCAAGTAGAGAATGAAGGGCTGTGATGAGAAGGTGGAAAGATGATGAATAACATCAAAGAATAATCTAAAGGTATAGAGTTGATTATTAATGTACTATTTACTTTTGCACAAGGGAAACTTGAAAATGATAATAAATTCATTCTATCAAAGGCAAAAATAAAATTTCTATATGAGGAAATTGGGAAGGGAGAAGGCGAGCCCACAGTCCTATTTTGAAGCAGTGAACTTCTCCCTTGATTAAGTTGCCGGTAAGCATGCAAAGAGGACAAGGTGCCCGTGGGCAGCTTGTTCACATCAAAGAGGGCAAGTTCAGTTGTTTGTGTGTTTACCAGTGACGGGTGTATAACAGGCAGTCTGTATGATGTTGGCTGTCTCAATTAGCACCTATCATGATTATGACATGTCTGCGCCATTTCCTTTATTAGGATTTCTCAGTATAAACTCACATACCTTACCATTTTGCTGAGCACAGAACTAAGCACATAAAAGACACTTGAGATAGGATCTTTGACCTCAATAGTGACTCTCATAGACACTATCGGGAAACAAGAAAAACTCTGAAGAGAGAGAGAAGAATCTAAGATACACTGAGCATATGCAGGAGGCTTTCAGGACTCTCAGAATTTTGAGCAGATTCTAGAAGGAATTAGAAAGATTTCATGGAGTAAGAGGAATTAAGGTGAGTCATTACTAGACTCTGGTTTCCCCTTGGTTCCACCCCAACTCAGCACTTAATTATTCCCTGTGCTTCCCAATAGAGTACCCATTAGAACCACTAGGGAATTTTTAAAAATAAAGATTCCCAGGCCCCAGCCCAAACCTACAGAATCAGACTCTTCAGGGTTAACTTCTGGGAACCTGTATTTTTTCAAGTCACCTTGTGATATATATGTGGCCTACTCAGCACCTATGTTGTTGGATTATATAATAAATTGTTAAATTAACCAATAAGAACCCGTAATAAGCGTTATACTGAATTTAAACAAGTACAGTTTTTTTATTTTTAATCACACAATGGTTAATGAAGTATGCCCATGGGACACCTAAAAAAGCTCACATTAATGATTAGCAAAAGATGATTTCTATTTTACAGCAGTTCTTTGGAGGCATTTAAATACACTCTGCTTGCTAGAGCAGTTGAGACATTCTTCTTTATTAATATTCTAAACTACTTAGCCAAATCCTCTCTGCTTCCTTAGGTCAGATACAGGCAAACTTCAGTGGGTCCCTGTATTGTATGATGTTTAAAATGTCAACAGAACTTTTTCAGGGGTGTATTTAGTGTCTCCTTTTCTAACAATTATAGGACCCTTAAAAGATGGATTGGTTCACTTTTATTGACCAAAAATGGATTTATTTCATTTTTATTAACTAAGTCTCTCAAGGTACTGTCCCAAACATATTTCACCATTAGAATATAAACCCTTTATCTTGTTCCTACTGTACACAGGACCTCAGAACTGTACCTATGACATAGTAGTTGCTCACTGAATATTTGTTGAGTGAATGAATACAGCAAATGCTTAAGAAATGTTTTTGAAATTAATAACTATGTTTTGGGAGAAGCTGGCCAGTCATGAGCATTGTTTGGAGCTTTTAAAAAATACAAATTCTAGGATATCAGCCCTCACCAGTCAGAACCTGGAAATTGGTACTCAGGTGATTCTGGGACTTAGCCAAATTTCAGAACCACAGAAAACAACTCTTAGTGTATATTATCAGTTCTTCAGATAGCACCTCCTCTAAGAACTTCCTCATGTTTTCCCTCTCACAAACGGTGGAGTGTGGTTTTTCCCATCTTTGAACTCTTATGCTGCAGTGTCCTGACGTCTCCAGTAGCTCTCTTTTCACTCAGCTGTGGACCTCAGCAGCCTCTCTTCTGTGTAACCCATTTAGGTAGACGGTGAATTCCTGGCAAGCAGGTACCTGATACCTTACAGCATTGCACATATTGAGTGACCTGAATTTTGGGCAGGAGCCTTTTCTAAGACATTGTTTATGATATTTCCATGATTCTAAGGTGTCATTAGTTAAAGATGCAATATTGAGTCCACAGAAGAATTGTTTTAAGGGAAGAAATGAACCACCTCCAGAATGAAGAGTAGTTATATGTCAGAGACATTCAGATTGTAATGCAGCATAACAAAGATATAAGTTACCAGCCTGTATTTTTCACAATAAGCTACCCCGTGTGTCAAGATTATCTTCTGTAAGTTTCCCTTCAAACCATATGGACAGAAAGAAAGAAGGACATTCCTAACATAGTCAACATATCTCAGAAGAAAGCAGGCAATGGCATTAATACTTCTAATGGATAGCATACCATGACATGAGATAATAATGGCTGATGATAGTCCTAATAGTCCTTGTTCAGGTATTATACTCCAGGAACTGTTCTATGCACTTTAATTCTCCCAACCATCTTGCAAAAGTCGTTTTATGACTGAGAAAACTGAAGCTCATACATTGAATCTGGAAACATCTGTAATTCACAGAACTATAAATTGTTAGAGCTATAATTGCTTTTAAAGAGTATCTGACCCATCCCCTTTGTGCCACAGGGGAGTAAACAGGGCCAAATCTAGACAGTAAATTAGTGTCAGTCTAGACTAAAGCAGGGACACTTCTTCATACACACACACACATACACACACACACACACACACACATACACACATACTCATGTACACACATGCACACACGTAGTTAATAAGGGAATATGTGAGTTAAAGTCTATTTTCCTATCTGTACATTTCCCATCCTTGGCACATTTTTTCCTATTGTTTCACCTTTATTTTTCTAGTTAAAATAGTAAAAGATGACCTGAGACCTTGACTATATCCCATAGGAACAAGCCCACTCCCCAACCCACTCTGGCTACACTGCACAGATCAGTGCCCCATGCATGGCAGTGATAGGAGCAAAGACCCTTGTTCTTGTTGGTTGTAACTTCCTCTGAGCCCCTTACAGGAAGTAGGTGATAAGGTACATGCCGGATGCCTCCTTTTCCCCACACCCTGGACTGCCTCAGCCCCAAACCAGAGTTTCCTGTTATCAGTGCTGAATGCCACCTAGAGCAACTATGATGAAGAGCTCTGCCAGCCTCCTGTCCTTGGCAGAGGTGACTGCAAACCTTACTTCTCTTTTGTCTGATGTCTATGGATCAGTTTACTCTTAACAGTTAAACCCCTCTCTCATCACAAATTTATAAAAAATAATAATGGTTTCTTTTAAAGAATAAAAATAACAAAAAAAACATTCTTAATTAAATAGAAGAGATATTCCCACTCCTTTCTTCACAGATAGCTGATAAAATTCAGGCCTTTTTGGTCTTTGTTCCTTCCCTTTAGAATACGTTACAAGTGCAGATAATGTCTGCTTTGGCTAAAGCTTGATTTCTTCCTGCCCTGAATTTAATCCATCACATTTCAATGAGGCAAGAGCAAAAGCTTCAATATTTAGTGAAAGGGGAAAACTTTTGAAGACAAGTGATGCTATGTAATTTATGGATGAATATCATAAACATGATGTTGAGTTGAAGAAAAAAATGGCAACCCACTCCAGTATTCTTGCCTGGAGAATCCCATGGACAGAGGAGCCTGGTGGGCTGCTGTCCCTGGGGTTGCACAGAGTCGGACACGACTGAAGCGACTTAGCATGCATGCATGCATTGGAGAAGGAAATGGCAACCCACTCCAGTGTTCTTGGCCTGGAGAATCCCAGGGATGGAGGAGTCTGGTGGGCTGCCATCTATGGGGTTGCACAGAGTCGGACACGACTGAAGCGACTTAGCAGCAGCAGCAGCAGCAGCAGAAGCCAGACATAGATTCACTATTCACAGTATCAAAGGTTAAAACAGCCCAAATGCTCAGCAACTTATGCACAGATAAACAAAATGTGGTGTGATCCATACAAAAGAAAATTATGCAACCATAAAAAGGAATGAAGTATTGATATATGTTACAAGTTGATGAACCTTATAAACAATATGCTAAGAGTAAGAATCCAGTCAAAAGAGACCACATGTTATACAATTTCATTTATATGGAATTTCTAAATTAGGCAAATCTATAAAGAAGGCAAAGTAATGTGGCAGGGGTGCAAATGATTACGAGGTGTTTTTTGGGAGAGATTAAAATATTCTAAAGTTAGATCATGGTGATGGTCGCATAACTCATTGATTTTGATAAAAAGCATTAAATTGTACACTTAAACAAGGATCATTTCATGGTATCTAAATTAGGCTTCAAAAGCTATTTTAAATTCTAATGAACTAATCTGGGATTTTTTTTTTTTTTTGGTGTCATATAGCTCAGCTTTACTTCAGAAATTGAATTCACTACTGATCCCAACGTGGAGGAAGTCAAGTTTTTTAAAAGAATGATTTGCAAGCAAGTTAGAAGGGTCTTTCCTATTGCACTGGATAAACAGTTTACATTCATATCTGAGAAAAAGAAACTAAGAATCTGGTTAGTTCTCCTCTGGCCTAACCATGTCCAAGGTCATGCACACAATACATTGTGGACAATGTGGAAGGCTATAAGAGGTGTATAAGGTTACGCTATTGGTCCAGAAAGATTTACAACTCATTTTCTTACATTTTAAAAAAATTCATGAAGTACAGAATCATTAAAGTAAATTCTGTGTGTACAAAGACAGAATACTAGGACTGTCCTCGAATATTATGACATCTCATAAAAAGAAATGTAGTAGCTTTCTATATTTTCATCAATTCTTCCCCTGCTTTTAGGCAATAGCTGGGGCAGCCCTACCTCACAACCTTGAGAAAGGAAGGTCAAGAGTAAAACAGAGACCTGAAGATTCAGGTGTCAGCTTCAAATTTCTTTCTTTTTCTAGTTTTAGTGAGATATAATTGACCAATGACATAAGTTGAAGGTATACAACTTAATGATTTGATTTATGTATATATTGTAAAATGTACAATAAATGTAGTTAACATTAATCTACACACATAGCTACATTTTTTTTCTTGTGATGAGAACTTTTAAGGTCTTAAACAACTTTCAAATATACAATGCAGTATTGTTAACTACAGTCACCATATTGTACATGATGTTCCCCAAATTTATATTATAACTAGAAGTTTGTACCTTTTGACCACTTTCATCAAACTCCCCTACCCTCCACCACCCTCAAATTTCAAAATAGACTCTTGAAACTCCCAGCAGAGAGATGAAGAGTTTGGGGAAACTCAGAGAGCTTATGGAGTAAACTCTAGGTTTGGCAAGAACGCACAGTGATGTAAGGGCCAACTGTCCCCTACACATGCTGCTCTGCAGGTTTAGGGCCAAGTCAAAGGAAGCAGGTTACATTTCTGTGTGAGGATGAGCTTTCCAACCATGAGTGCTCTTTCAAAAGACAGAGACTACCCATCAGGAAGGTTATAAGTAAGAAATGTATATTTGGTTGAGTCAGTAGAGACAAAATCTGAATGTCCATAGCCTTTTAAAAGTTCAGGCCCCAGGGTCCCAGTAATGGAGATTCTAAGTGTGTAGGTATCAAGGGGAGTGTGGTCAACTGCTTGTGGTCATTGTTTTGCTTTGTCTTGTTTTGTGCTTTAGATTCTTCACGTGATTTTATGATCATCAATAAAGTTTGGGGCACAGGGGCTTAGGCCAGATCAGTGATTTTCAACCAAGGGCGACTTTGTCCCCAAGGGAACATGTGACAATGTCTAGCATCCAGTTGATAGAGGCCAGGGATGCTGCTAAACATTCTATAATGCACAGGACAGTCCCCTCAACCAAAAAATACGAGGCCCCAAATGTCCATAGTACTGAGGTTGGGATAATTCTGCTGTAGAAAACCTTTCTGTGATCTTCTCTAACCCTGAGATTCTAGGATTCAAACAATTAGTATAACCATCTATGTGTATTATGTTTATGGGTAGATGACCCACCTTTGGGATTAAGGCCTTATGTTGTTCTAAATTGTACATACTTTGCTCCATGTATCTCAAGCGTATGCCTGCCTCACAAGGCTTCTGTCCCTCTCTGGCCTTCACTTATGGCCCTCACTATGTCTAAGTTAAGTGAACCACAGAAATAAGTTTTGCAAATGTCACCAGCACAGATTGACAGCTAGATAGGAACAGAGCATTGGACACAAAGTACTCAAAATCAGGGTTAAGATTGTTAAAGGTCCTACCAGGAATGAATAAACTGGTGTCTCCATTTGTTTGTACTTATTTCATCAGCATGGGCAAAATTGTCAGTGGGGTAGAGGGTATATTTTGGAGAATTCCCCCTTCTCTGCACTTCCCTCTTACAACCAGCAGCTTCATGTTCTTTCTCCTTTTGCCCTGCAGCAAAAACAGCACTTGAAAAAGGGTCTACAATATATATTCCCATTAAGGAACTGATGAATCTTCCTTGACAGAAATTTTGTGCCCTTATGGGGAATGGACAAGTGGCTTCTAACATTTGTTGAATGGAGGCACCATGGATAAGTAGAATGATCAAGGATTTTGCTCACCCACCACATTCAAGGTTCAAACTCCCGGTCTGCCCCCTACATTTGGAGGTCATGAGAAAATCACTTCCGCTCTGCAGCACTCAGCATCTTCATCAGGAAATCGAGGATGACAACATCTAATTTGCAATGTTGTGGTCAGGGTTACATAATATCTGTAATGAGCCCCAGGAAGGCAGGATTTGCGTCTGTTTGCCTCTGTTTACTGTTTATGTCATCACTAGAATAGTCTTGGACCCACAGTAGGAGCTCAGAAAACGTCTCTTGAATGAATATGTGAAATGGTAGGCATTACTGCTGAGAGGCCGCTTTGTGCCAAGCTGGCCTATGGTATTTCCTCCTTTCAAGGGCAAGAAAGTGGAGCTAGATACACAAGCCTGATTTCCTGATCACTGATTTTTCATTCTTATTAACCATTCCAGGGCAAAGAAGGAGCCTTTATGGTACGAGATTCCAGGACTCCAGGGACATACACCGTGTCTGTTTTCACCAAGGCCATCGTAAGGTATGGTGCTAACTCAGCAAAGTGGGGAGGCATGGTACTGAGGTGGGGGATCAACAAGCCACACACAGCAATGTCAGACAGTGGATGAGGCAGAGGGGTCCTTAGAAACAGTGCATTGTCCCTGATCCCTCTGAGAAAACCAAGGCCAGGGAGATTAACAACATAACTAAACTCACTTAACTGGAAAATGACAGAGCTGGGCCTGTATGCCAGGTTTTTGCCCCAGTTAGCATCCCTGAGTCCAGAGCTCTAATGAAATAAAATATCTAGTCCTGTATTTAATACAAGTTTATAACTTAATCCAAAGAATAACAAAAAGATACTTTGCAAGCAAGAAAAAAGAATTCTAGTTCTGGCTCTGCTGATAAAACTACCCCTCATTTATTGAGTCCTTACTATGTGCAAGAACCTTATAGGTCATTTCCAACCATAATAAGCCCCAAAGGCAGGTACTACTATGCTCCTTTCACACACAGAGCTGATGGCCCCTTCTGAGGCAATAGAACACCAGAGGTCAAGCTGCCCTCATGTTCCAGTTGGCTGACTGCAAGACACTCACTGCTGGTCTATGCTCCTCAGACCGCAGTCTTCTCTGTAAAACTGTCTAAAAGCCTAGCCAGGTCACAATTTTTTTTCTATCTAGAAAGTCAGTAAGAACTAAGCAGTGTGGCAATGACCAAAGTCCAGTAAGAGAAAAGTAATTTTTAAGGTGTCCTCAGAGAACAAACACTTTGGAGAAGGAAATGGCAACCCACTCCAATATTCTTGCCTGGGAAATCCAATGGACAGAGGAGCCTGCTGGCTATAGACCATGGGGTTGCAGAGTCGGACATGATTGAGCATCACACACAATGCAGGGAATACTTGCTGGAGGATGAAGGACCTCAGTAAGACTTGAAGCAAGAGTAGGGTGTAGCCAGGTGGTGAAGAGGAAGGGTCTGTCTAAGGTTGAGAAAAAAGGTAATGCCCATCACCAAGGGGCCGTGCCTCTGCCATAGCTGGGGGACCGGGGGCTCCAAAAGGATGATGGAAAAACAATGAGAAATAAAGTCTGTGTTGGGAGTCCCTAAGACCACCCCAGATTCAGCGATTCATTAGGAAGGCTCAAGGACTCAGGATATGGTGCGAGGCTAAGACTTTTTACAGTGAAAGCATACAAAGCAAAAGCAGCACGAGGGAAAGGCACGTGGGGCAAAATCCAAAGAAAGCCAAATGCACGCTTTCAGGAGTCCTCTCCTAGTGGACCACACAGGATGTGCTCAATTCCTCCAGCAACAAGTGCCGTAACAGGGTGAAATGGTGTCACCAGGGAAGCTCACGAGAGACTCAGCCCCCAAAGTTTTCACTGGCGGCTGGTCATGTAGGTACCCTCTGCCTGGCACGTAGCAAAATTCGAGACTCCCAGAAAAAAAGTAAATGTTGAGCATAAACCTCATTGTTTATGTAAACAATTTAGGCACATCCTTACCAGTTAGAGAATGGTGGAAGCCCTTTTGAAATCCAAGTTCTCAGAAGCCAACCAAGTACCAACCTGGCAAGCAGATCTTTTATGAATGGCAGTCAAGGCAGCTATGTTAACTCTGCTTTGCAAAGTCAAATAAGTACAACCGGGCTGAGATGCTTTCTGAACATGTACTGATGATTAGTTAAATCTACACAGCAGAGAAGGCAAACATGCCATCCCCTGGGGCATGGATACAAGATCATGGGGGATGGATACAAGACCTTCCCCCATTTTGTGGTTTGGGGAGAAACATCACCAGTCCATCATGGGACCAATCATAACTGGGTCCAGACACACCCTCAGAATCTTCCTTCATACACCACTCAGGGCCAACCTGTCAAGACTGACATAAAAGTTAAAACATATCTGCCATGCTTGTGAGAGGGTAAAGAGCAAAGCTACTAGGATACTGCTACCAGTAGATATTTCTGTGTCCAAACATTGCTTCTTAGTAATGACTGTGTGTCTCATTTGTTTAAGTGAGAACAACCCCTGTATAAAGCATTATCACATCAAAGAAACAAATGACAACCCCAAGCGATATTACGTGGCTGAAAAGTATGTGTTTGATTCCATCCCTCTCCTCATCAATTATCACCAGCACAACGGAGGAGGTGAGTTCTCAGGACAAGGGCAGAGGGGGGCCCTTGCAGGCGAACATGGAGAAAAGTGACAAACACTCATCATTCCAGACAAACCAACTATAAATGGTAACAATTTATACCGATACCAAAGGATGCCAAATATTTGATTACATACTTTCCATTAGCAGATTTTGCTGCTAGAATCATGAGATTTCACCAACCACCTACCCACCTGCAATATTACAGGTCCTCTCAGGGGAAGTGTAATATCAGTGATTGTGGCTTTGGAATTTGTTTTCCAGAGTAAAAATAGCTCTTGCATTGGATTACACTTTTTTCTTCCTGGTGATTTGACTCGGATGGCTGCTTCAGTAAAGCTCTAATGACTGTCTTTCACTTTTTAATCAACCCAGGCCTGGTCACTAGACTCCGGTATCCAGTTTGCTCCTGGAGGCAGAAAGCCCCAGTCACTGCAGGGCTGAGATATGGTAAGAGTGCATTTGGGATTGGTATTCATTTGCACTAACTCACATCCCTAAAGGTCTGGGGCAAATTGTGAATGGACTTCCCCAGACTTAAAATGATCATTAAACAAGTACACTATATATCTGGAGATGGTATATACAAATGAACATTTACAATGTGTGTAAGATAGATAGACAGATGCACATTTATCTAGGTCATATCAATGAAGTGTTTGCTGAGCACCTACTCTGTACAGAGCACTCCACTCAGTGCTATGAGAAACCAATGTTATACCACTGTGTTCCTACCTATCTTCTAGAACATCTGTATCATCTAGTTTATTGGCTATCAGTCTACTGCAGGTGCTATAAGCTAGCAGCATCCAGAAGTGTGTGTCCACATAGCACTGTGTTAAAATTTTTTGAATGCTTTTAGGCAGGGCATACATCTCCAGGGCCTTGGGCCTTACTTTTCCTTCCTCCCCTATGAAACCACTTCACCCCCTTGTACTTTCTGCCTGGAACCTGAAGGCATTTGGGGATGCAAACATACCCTGATCCAAAATGTGCTGGCTGAGGAGAAGGCTGATGTAACTTTCATGTTGTATCTTTTAGATTGGTGGTCCTCAAACTTCAGTGGGCATTCAAGTTATCTAGGATGCTGATGAAAAGTATTGACTCCTGGCCCCAACCCAGCACTTACCAAAATGCAATCCCTGACGGTTGGGTCCTGGAGTTGCATTTTCAGAAAAGGCCTTGGGTGATTCTGACACCAGGGGTTAGAGGGTGATACTTTGAGAAATGTCGCCATGGGCTCCTCATTTGTAACCAGCACCATGTCTGCACACTGTGGATGCTTGGTACTGTTTCCTGTTGAGTCTCTGCCTCAGAGAGGTAGAAACTGAACTGTTTATGGTACTAGACCAAGCGTCAGGAGAGGATAGTGTCCCTCAGCCTCCTGACAAAAATAAAGTAGCTCTAATACCTGTAGAATCCTAATGTGTTCATGCTGGGTGGAAGCCCAGGGAGTATTTTATGAACCCATTCATCTTTGTCAGCATGGAGGTTGAGATTCAGATTCCTTTTATTCATTTATTGAGCATTTGTTGAGCACATACCTTGTTCTAGACTGTGTGCTGGCCTGCATCTCTGTACCACTCCTCTTGGAATCCACTACCTTACCCTTACCTCTGCTAAGGCCTAACAAGTGCTGTCTACAAAATGGATGCTCTTGATGGATAAATGAATGAATGAATGACCAATTCAAATAAAATTTTCTCTACATGAAAAATGACAATAACAATTTTCAATCATGTATAGGAAATGATTGGGACCTTAGGACCCTTTGATTGGCTTTAATATCTCAACTGATGCCATCCTCCTTCCTCTTTCCATGTAATCATCCCCACACACATTTTTTCGTGGTTTTCAGTGCATAGTCTATGTTATTATTTGGAAAAGAAGATAATTTTACCTATCTATAGTTCTAAGTATGAGGGCTTATACCATTTGCCATCTTTGAGCTACATTAACGATAGTCTAACACTCTATATAGAGCAGTATAGTTTCCTGGTAGTCCTATACCTCGTATCTACTGCTTGCCAACTCTGGAAACCCCTCTCTTTCTCTTCCAGGGAAATGGGTAATTGACCCCTCAGAGCTCACTTTTGTGCAGGAGATTGGCAGTGGGCAGTTTGGGTTGGTACATCTTGGCTACTGGCTCAACAAGGACAAGGTGGCCATCAAAACCATTCAAGAAGGGGCTATGTCAGAAGAGGATTTCATTGAGGAGGCTGAAGTCATGATGTGAGTGGCCTAAACAACAGTACACAGAGAGCACTGTGATCTTTAAATACCATTCTAACATCATCTTATGCCACCTCCCTGCCCAAGTCCAGCGATGGCTTCCTATGGCATGGAGAATAACACCAAGCTCCTCACTGTGGTCTAGAAGGCCTTCCATGGTCTGGCCCTGCCCACTCCTTAATTACATTCCTACCCATCTCTCCTCTGGTTCCACGCATGCCAGTCACACGGACCTTCGTTGTCCTCACGCACACCAGCTGAATCCATGCCATTCTTCAGCTCAATGAGACATTTTTGTTTGAGGGAGGGAGTGTATTGGGAAACTGAATTTTGAGTTGAGACCATCTCAACTCTTGCCATTTTTCTCCAGGAAACTCTCTCACCCCAAACTAGTCCAGCTCTATGGAGTATGCCTGGAGCAGGCCCCCATCTGCCTGGTGTTTGAGTTCATGGAACACGGCTGCCTGTCAGATTACCTGCGTAGCCAGAGGGGGCTCTTTGCTGCGGAGACCCTGCTGGGCATGTGTCTGGATGTGTGTGAGGGCATGGCCTACCTGGAAGAGGCATGTGTCATCCACAGAGACTTGGTAAGAGGATGCAGGGCAAAACCCTACAAGTCCAGGGTGAAGGGGCATGTCCCACTGAAATGCAGAACTACCAAGACTGGGAATGCAAGAATCAATAAAAAGGCACAAGCTTTCTTCCTTCCCATTGCAACTTCTTCCTTCCTCCACCCACTGTGGGAGGTCCTCATGGGACTCAGTTCTGGGCTTTATTCCCAGCCCCACCTCTAACTTTCACTCTCTGAGTTGGAGTTTACATTCTTCCAAAATGAAGCTAACAGCCGTTCCTCTTAACCTCTCTATGCCTCCACATCCTCTTGGTAAAATGAGAGAAGTTGACAAGTACATGCTTTCTTAAAATGCTATCCAAAGATCTATCAGGATCACACTGGGGTGATCCTAGAACCAACCTCAGAATTTCTGGTGGTTGAGGTTCAGGAATATTCATTTTAACATGTCCACCCCATGCAATTTGCAGGCACATTAGAACTTAAGACTCACTGGGTCTTTTATCAGTAGTTCAGTTCAGTTCAGTCCAGTCACTCAGTTGTATCCGACTCTTTGCTTCCCCAATGAATCGCAGCACGCCAGGCCTCCCTGTCCATTACCAACTCCCAGAGTTTACTCAAACTCATGTCCATCGAGTCGGTGATGCCATCCAGCCACCACATCCTCTGTCGTCCCCTTCTCCTCCTGCCCCCAATCCCTCCCAGCATCTCTTCACATGAAGTGGCCAAAGTACTCGAGTTTCAGTTTCAGCATCAATCCTTCCAATGAACACCTAGGACTGATCTCCTTTAGGATGGACTGGTTGGATCTCCTTGCAGTCCAAGGGATTCAGGAAGGGATCTTCAAATCCGACACTCTGTGATGTGAATTAGGGACCATGTCATCTCCCTATTGAGGAATAATTTTAAGAGAATTAGCAACCTCAATACATTCTTACTTTAATCAGATGGATGACAGCTTCTTCATACCATCCCTAAGGTTAACATCAGCTTGCACTGGAGCTTATAATTGGTTACACAACACCATGGATTTCTCTTCTGATTAGGATCCCAGGAGTAAAGATGAAAGATGAGATTTACTCACCCTGATAAAAAGACCTTACGCATTCAGTTTCCATCGCGCACTAGTGATGCTTAATTAACATTTGTGAAGCTCCTTATTGCTCCCATATAAGCAAAGCACTGTGATTATAGAAGACTCCTTAATTACTGATTACTCACCAAGTTTTCTTTATCCTTTTGTTTGCCTGTCTCTGCTCCAGGCTGCCCGGAATTGTTTAGTTGGGGAAAACCAAGTTATCAAGGTGTCCGACTTTGGGATGACAAGGTAACATGGGGATATGGTACCAGCAAAGTCTCAGGAATGGGACACAGAGCCCCAGGACACTCGGACCATCTCTCTCCTCTCTCTTCCCAGGTTCGTCCTTGATGACCAATACACCAGTTCCACAGGCACCAAATTCCCAGTGAAGTGGGCATCTCCAGAAGTCTTCTCTTTCAGTCGCTACAGCAGCAAGTCAGATGTGTGGTCATTTGGTAAGTATCATTCTGGCCCCACACCCACACAACCTGGGACTGTGCACCAGCTGTTTTATTTGTCCAATTGCTGGGATGGTGAAGGCATCCCAGTGAGAGTCTACAGACTCACTATTGCATTTATTCTTGGTTATTTTTGAAATGGGGGTAAAAATAAAAATGAAAAAAGGATACTTATGACAGCTGCTGTGAGATCAAGAGATGGAGGAGTCAGAAGATTAGAATATGAGTCCCTGGAAGGCAGGGACCATGTTTTTTTCCAACATTATGCTTATTCCCACATTTAACCCTCAGTAAGTATTTTATCCATTCATTCAACAGTGATTTTTTGAGCATCTACTACATGCTAGGGGCTAATTTGGGTGCTCACAAAGCATTGTTACATAGGATAGAAAAGACTCCTGTTCTCTTGGAGCCAAATTTTAAGGAGAGGAAACAGTCATGTAAACAAGCTAACAAATATGTGTGTAAAGTCAAGTCAGGGAGTAGTAAGCAAGTGCTATGAATAAAACAAAGCAGTAATAGGGCAAAGAGTGACTATAATGGAGCGAGGGTCTGTATTAAATAGCAGAATCCATCCAGGAAGGCCTCTCTGAGACTCTCTGTGACTGTTGAGCAGAGAGCTGAATGATAAGAGGAAGATGTCTCCATTTGAAGATCCAGGAAACAGTGTCTCTAACAAAGGCAGCAGCAAGTGCCAATGTTTGGTGTGTCCAAAGAAAAGGGAGTACTGACTTAGCAGGAGAAATATAGGCAATGAAATTGGCTGGCCATGGTAAGGAATTCGATTCTCATAAGTGCAAATGGGCGTGAATGAAAGAATGAATGATGCCCATGGGACAAGAAGCACTAAATGTTCCTGCTAGAAGTGTCATGTCTTTGTAAATCATAGCCTGTGCATATTAAAGCGTTCACAAATCTATACCAGACAACCTCTTTGATCTGGAGTGTAAGAAGGATTCTACTTTGGACAGAAATGGCTTGGAGTTTGATGTTGTCATTCTGTATGAAGGGAAGATTTGCCAAGTATATTGACTAGTAGGAGAAACCAGGGAGAAGACTAATTAAATCCCTTAGGAAAAGAACTAATTAGTCATCTTCAGTACTTTAGAATATCCATTTCCAACAGCCAAGTGGTATGTTTATTTTGAGTCCTTCTACATTGTTCCTTGGACTTCTCAGGTGGCTCAGTGGTAAAGAATACACCTGTCAATGCAGAGGACCGAGGTTTGAGCCCCGGGTCAGTAAGATCTCCTGAAGAAGGAAATGGCAATCCACTACAGTATTCTTGCCTGGGAAATCCCATGGACAGAGGAGCCTGGCAGGCTACAGTCCACAGGGTCACAAAAGAGACAGATATGACTTAGCTACTAAACCACCACAACAACAAAAATTGTTCCTTAAAGTAGTTCCTCTGTTCAACAGGCCTAGTTATGACTTTGATAATCAAACTGAAGGTATAGAATGAACTCAGAAGAAATAAAACTGCACTAGAGCAACCTCAGATCCTCTTTTCCCCAGTGCATACAACTAGGAAGGGTGTGGCCACTCTCCATGTTTACGGCTGGTCATGTTGCACCAAGCCAGTTGTTCCATAAAGAAATGTTGACAGCCATGGCCACTTTGTCACATTCACCCATGACTCAGGATGGTGTTTATTCTGCCACAGGTTGTCAGCCTAGGACTTTGCTGCTGCATCTTATAATTAGAGGATTGAGCTTAAAGTCTGTCCCTTCCTAGGATGTGTCATCTGAAGTGTCCAAAGATGAGACTGACTGATGGAAGCAGAGTAGGAAGGGTGAGAAAACGGGAGACAACCCTGAGAAACAGAAATGTGGATGGAGGAGAGCTCGCTGCCTGCCTCAAGGCCACTGGGCTTTGTCGTGCATTTTAAGGTTTTTGCCCTAATGAACTACACTATCTTAAACAAGCCAACTAACCTCTTTGGGGCCTTACTCAGTTCCTCAATGTATCACAAGGTTTGCATAAAAGCAACTGTTTTCCAGCCAGCTTTGAGCAGCAAACCCCCATTTTCCAAAGAAATCTCACTAGAAATCCTGGCATCTTGGGGTGTTAAATAAGCTTATTTACTGAATTTCCCCAAACTCCTGAGGCACCTCTGAGGCTCCCTCAGAAATTCTCATCCAGTTGTCTGGACTGGGCCCCAGGATCTGCCACTGGAACAAATTTCTGAGATGATTTTTCAAGACTTCAGACGCTTGAGGGATCATATTTTGCAAAATTCTTCCCTTGAGTTCTCTGGACTCTGTTTTGAAAACTACTAGATTAGGTGACCTGCAAGTTCTGTTCCCACCCTGACATCTGATGAATAGATATGAGTACATAGTAAAGCTGGGTGTAACATTTCTGCTGAAGGCAGAAGAGGAAAAGTGATTAAATCAGAGATCAAAAAGACAACCTGAAGAGTTTTGCTTGGTTAACACAGTATTTTTTTTAATCAAATTGAGTTTATATTTTAAAACTACCAATTTATGATTTACCTTTTAAAATAAATCAGAAAAATGTGACAATCCTGAGCCCTCATTCCCAACTGCCCTATTCTTGTTGGAGCTAAATCACAGCTCTCCCTTTGGGGACAGAAATTTTGACTTCTGGTTTTCCACAGTCCTTACTAGTCCCTGTTATACAGACTTCATTTTCTCTATTCATCTACATCATGTGTAGACATTTGAGTTTATATCCCCTGCAAGCTTTAGTTGTAGCATTTGAGATAGATATAACAAAGGGCTGAGCTTGAACATTCTTCAGTTGGGAAATCTCTGTTCTTCAGAAATAGTACGGGCCTAATAAGTCTTAGGTGGTTTGACATTATAATTTTGGTGGTAGAGACTTGAATTTTAACGTCAAAGAGTCTGTGATTTCTAGATGTGAGTTTGTTTGTTACCTATGAACTTTATCACTACCTGTTTTGATTCACTATTTCTCATAGGTGTGCTGATGTGGGAAGTATTCAGTGAAGGCAAAATCCCATATGAAAACCGAAGCAACTCAGAGGTGGTAGAAGATATCACCACTGGATTTCGGTTATACAAGCCCCGACTGGCCTCCCAGCCTATCTACCAGATCATGAATCATTGTTGGAAAGAGGTCAGTAAATGAAGTGGTTTCCCCTTCTCCCTCCCCCACATTATAATCTGTAACTTCAGGGTCTGCCCCCATCCTCAAAGAAAGGAACCCTCTCAGAGAATGAGGCAGTAGGGATGACAAAACAGATTAGCAAGAAAATGACATTGAGCACCTATTAACTGAAGGAGTTCCCTATCTCTAGAAGAGCTGGCAGAGATCTTAAATATTATTTTATTTGCAATATAATGGTACAAGCCATCAACATACTATCAGAAAGGAAAAGGGGGTAGATCTGATTACATTTGTGTGGGCCTATTTCTGGGATCCTAACTCTACTCCATTTATCTATCTATTCTTTCACCAACATCACAGCCTCTTCATTACTAAAGCTTTATGGTAAGTCTTAAAGTCAAGCAGTGTCAGTCCTTTAACCGTGTTCATCTTGCTCAGTATTGTGTTGGCTATTTTGAGTCTTTTACCTTTCCATGTAAACCTTAGCGGGGGGGCGGGGGGGAACCTTAGGGGTTTCCCTGGTGGCTCAGACAGTAAAGAATCCACCTGCAATGCAGGAGACCTGGGTTCGATCCCTGGGTTGGGAAGATCCCCTGGAGGAGGGCATGGCAACCCACTCCAGTATTCTTACCTGGAGAATCCCCATGGACAGAGGAGCCTGGTGGGCTATAGTCCATGGGGTCCCAAAGAGTCAGACAGGACTGAGTGACTAAACACAGCACAGCACATAAACCTTAGAGTCATTTTGTCAGTTATCTACAAAATAAGTTGCTCGGTTCTTACTGTGATTGTGTTGAATCTATAGATCAAGTTGAAAACAAATGTAACCTTAACAATATAAAGTCTTCCTATACACAAACATGGAATATTTCTCAATTTACTTAGATCTTCTTTGATATCTTGTTTTAGAATTTTATATTTTTCCTAGCATAGATCCTATACACATTTTATGAGATTTATACCCAAATATTTACTTTTTTGATGTTATTTAGCATTTATTTATGTTACATTTTATATATGACTTTATTTCATTCTCTCAACAATCTTATGAGATAGATAAGATTATTATCCTCATTTTACAGATAAAAAACTGAGGTTCAAAGATGTTAAGTAACCTGTTCAAGGTCACACAGCTAAGTGGAAAAGCTGAAATTCAAAAGCAGGCCATATTTTGATTCCAAAATGCCTGCTGTTAACAACTAAGACACAATGCCCTCAAATACAACATATACAGAAACATATTTAAAAATCAGTAAAAAGTATTGCTGTTTAATTCTGGTTTGCTTTGGAATTAGCTATGACACACAAGTACAAGGAAATCACAGAGTAACCTTTCTTTCTCTTCCTAGAAACCAGAAGACCGGCCACCTTTCTCCAGACTCTTGAGTCAACTGGCTGAAATTGCAGAATTGGGGCTTTAAAAGAGACTCAGTGCTAGGCCACGGGCTACAGATCCTGAGTGGGGAAAGGAGGTCTTCCCTCCACAGAGCATTAAGAGCTGCCACCAGCCCAGGACTCCCCAGAGGCAACTGGCCTGTTGCGCCAGTCCCTAAGCTGCCACGGAGGCAGCGGCCTGCTACAGCCTGGCGCCAGGCCACAGGCAAAAGGCTCAGCCACGGCGCTGGGAGTGGGGCCAGAGCAGCAGTGATGTCCCTCCGGCCTCTTCTCCTGCGTCATGCACAAACCTCAACCAACAGCTTTAAGGCAACACTTCTTGCACTTCTTAGAGAAAGGGAGAGATGGTGTAGGACCCAGGATTATTACCTTCATTATTATTTTAAACATGGACCTAAAGTTCATGGTCAAGGGAATCTTTATTTGACCCAGCAATACAGAATCCCAGAATACGGGGCGAGATGATCAAGAAGCATGACAATTTCTCAAGGAGAACTAGTGAGTTAATTAAAGTCACAAAGAGTAAGCTCTGCCTCTGTGATGCTGTCAGCCACAGCTTCCTGCCTCAGAGGATGATGGAACAACTGCTTACCTCAGAGACCGGATATGCTGAGAAGTAGCTTTGTGAGGTTTTACTCATAGAGCACATTGCCACCTCTCTCTTTGAAGAGACCATGATGGACTGGGGTGAACAATTCTGATCCCACTGCTGGAGCATTGGGTATCTGGCGTCTGGGCAGAAAGAGGGCATCAGATGATGGAATCACCTGATACAGGAAAATGCCTTAGGCTGTTACCACTTGGATGCCCATCTTTAGCACCAAGTCAAGCAGGTGACTCTGCCTCCCCTTTCGTGCCAAATGCTTCGGCAGGCATCCTGGGGGTGGGGGGAACCATGGCTTCTGTAAACAATCAGACCCCTCTCTGCATTCTTCCATCCTCATCAACAGAGTGCAGACTTGTGCCAGGCACTGTGGCCTGCCAGAGAAACTGAAGCTTGTTTCGGCCCTAGAGATTTGCAACTTCAAGGTTGAGACTTCAAGTCTCCCTAAATTCTAAGGGAGGAACAAGAGGTCTGTTCTTGCTCAAACCATCTGGATGGAAACTGAGTCAGGTACTGAGTCGGGGGCTTCCAAGATGCACAAGGATGCCTCTTGTTATTGAGCACCTGAATATGCAAAGTGCAAATGTACGGAGCTACAGGCCTTATCTGCAGAATCTCAGTTCACCCTGAGTTCACACCAACACTGTGAAGTATTATCATCATTCCCATTTTACAGACAATGGAACTTTGGCTTTGAAAAGCTTGGACACCTGCCTGAAGCAACAGAGCTAGGAAGTATTAATATAGAGCCCACCTCTGTCTGACTCCAATGCAGTTTCTCTATTTTTATTCAATACCGCCTCCTACTGAGGGTCAAAGAGATTGCAGAAGAGATAAGTACAGCAGAGGGGAAGAACCAACAAAGAAGCCCACACAGCACCATCAGCAAGTAAAGTTGATCCTGTATGGAGCAGTGTGGTTGTCGATGTAGCCCTCCAACTTGGAATAGGATCTTTATTTCCTCATCTATATCCTCACCTTCCTTACAGTTAATGACTTTGGAGTTATTAAAGGAATAATTAGCCCTTTGATTCACCCAACCCACCAGAGTAATATACTGCAAGAAGCTGTTTATAGATGGGCTTCAAAGTGGCTTTAAAAGATCCTCCTGCAGAAGTATAAGTACTTCCTTTAATTATCACTTCCACTTTGAACTAGCCGCGGCCTTCTTGGACACTTTCTGAGGAGGGGTATTCCCTGATGTGAGAGAGATTTAATTTTCCTACGGTGTTCAGATAAAACTCTCAGAGCAATTACTGGATGGTATTGAAGTCAACTCTTTCTAAATCATGTGATATTTTGACTGCCTGGTGATGCAGACACACAACTTTTAACTATTAACTATTGTGACACTGGTAGCTTCAAAATAAAACTATCATTCAGAAGATGACATCCTTCAACTTATCCAAAATCATCCCTGTTTACTTTTTTGGCATTTTTGTGCATTCTTTTTTGGAACCTTTAATTAGAGATGATTTCTGGAACATCAAGCCTAGAAAGAAAACATCAGAATTGACTGATTTTCTGTGGTATGGTTTAGAATGATTCTCCCCTGCATGGTATTATCTTGTTCAAGCTCAGATTCATTGAGGCTTTAACTCAACACGTGCCAAGAGTTTAGCTATCAGTGTCCTGGAAAATGGACTTCCTGCCTGTTTGGCTTTTTTCCCCCTCTCACATTTTGAAAATGGTGCCATGTGTTTACAGGGAATTCCCCTATGCAAAGTTTTGGTTCTAGATGCATTTGATAGATTCTGCATTGTGTCCTTTTGAGACTATATATTTATGTTTTACTAGAGTGAATATTTATTACTGTACAGTCATTCACAATTAAAATGTTACAAATATCTCCTATGCTTTGTAAAGCACACCGAGTCAAAGGCTGGGTCTAGCAAATAAAGTTGTGCATTTTAGTGAATATCGTATCCATTGCCTGGGTCCATATTTAGCCAAATGTCAGACAACCAAAAGTTTTCCTTAAATAATAATGGTTACATAGTTTCACATTACACAGACAAGTAGAGACTATATATCACTTAACATTTTTTTCATCAAGTAAATATCAAATGCTTCCTACGTTCCTTTGTTTGTTCCTTCCTATGTTTTGTCCTTGCAGAAACAAAAATGAAAAAGACACAGTCTTTACTTTAAAAAGACATTCCAGGTATGGTTGAGAAGGCAAACATATACACAAGCAAAATTATAATACAGGAATTAGAGCAATAACAGAAATAAGGTCAAAGTAGAAAAGAGCTCAGAAGATGGAATCTCTCAGACAAAGGGCAATGTCAGTAGAAACTTTCTAGAATCTTGCTACTCAAATTGTGGTCCCTGGACCAGCAAACAGCAGCATTACTAGCCTGTGAGAAACCCAAATTCTCTGCCTCCACCCTGAGATCCACTGGATGAGAATCTACATTTTAACATGATCTACACGTGATCATATGTACATTAAAATTTTGGAAGCACTACCACAGAAGACATCACATCTGACTCAGTTTTGAAGATGAATTATGGGATTTTTAGGCAAGCCAATGGGCAGAAATAAGAGAAGTATTTTCCAGGTAGAAGGATAGAGGAAACAAAACATATTGAGAAGCTATTATCTGTTTATCATTGCTGGAACATAAGGAGTATGTGTGTGTGTGCGTGTGTGTGTGTGTGTGTGTGTGTGGTCTCAGCAAAGGTGAGGATAATAAAAGGAGTAGACAAATTGAAATTAAGGCTATAAATCTATAGACAAGGACCTAGATTTTAAAACACACACATACACACAAATACTGAAACTCTACTTGTAGAGAGAAAAAATGTCTTTGAACAAGGAGAGAAGGTCAAATTTGCATTTAAAAATATATTCTGACACCACTGTGGTGAGTGGATTTGAGAGAGGCAAAGCTGGTGGAAGAGAAACCAATCTGGAAAAGATTTCTGCCTTGTTCCTAGTACCAGACTATTGTTCATACTCATTCACTGTCATCTCCTGTGTGGGTGACATGTGGCAATGTAATTCTGAGTCTTTAAGCCACAGTTGGACAGCAAGGCACATCTATTCTCCTTCCTAAAATCCCAGTGGAATAAAAGCTGGGTTATTATAATTCTCCCTGTACCTTTCATTTCACCAAATGTCCACGTCTACCGCAGGAACCAGCTCGTACACACGAGGACCATTAAGGACCAGTAAGAAAGCCTGTGGCTTCCACACTGTCCTTTGTGGAACTCACCTCTGGGCTTGACGCCCACTGGCGAATGACCCAGAAAGGAAACATATAGCAGGTTGGATGAGCAGATCTGCTTCTCAGAGAACATTTATCCTGCAGACTCTACTCTGCCTGGGATTTCCCAACACATAAGACCACCAAACTCAGGAAAAAGGCAGAATATATGCCATTCAGCAAGAGGGGCAGGGTGTGTGTGTGTGTGTGTGTGTGTGTGTGTGTGTGTGTGTGTGCAGAAGGGGCAGTAGATTTTTTTGAGGGGCTCAGAAAGGTGCTCTGATCAGGAAGAGGAGGATAGAGTTGAAGCTTCATTCAAACAGAGAGCACATATTTTCACTTAGAGTAAATATTTATTTGCAGTGACTTTGAGGAAAGTGCTAGAAATTTGGTGCACCAAACTCACTCCCCAGAACCACCCCTTGGTGGCAAAACTGTGTGTTGGGGGTGGGGGGTTATCTTCTATGACTGTGATTCTTCTCAAGTCACCATGAGCAACTGGCTTCTGGGATAACAGAATCATACAGATACTGTTAGAAGGAGTTTTAGAGATAATTTGTTACCATTCACCTGCTATTTCTTGGCACTGTGTCAGGCATATATGATGAATAAGATATCTTATCAGTAGGACCAAACACACCACAGTCAAATTAAGATAATTCAAGGATGGCCTATAAAAGAACTACTTAACACAAGGTGGGTTTAAATGAACCACAGGAAGTAGCAAGGAGGAAAAGAGCTGCCAAGGGGCAGTTACTATCCCCAGGCCTCCAAAAGATTAGGAATTGGAGCAGTCATTTGACTGTGGAAGCAGAGAGTCACCTGGAGAAAGTTGCCTTGAGAGGACAGGACCTTTAGTGAGAGACAGCGGAAGCCCAGGACAACATCACAAGGAGGAAACTGCAGAATAAATATGCTGGCCCCACTCTCTTCCTTCCCCCATCAACTGCTGGGGCTGCTAGCCAATCTCTCTGTCCGCTGGAAGCCAGAGAACAAGGAAATTCTAGAGCAATTGTCTACAGGCCAGTCTCCAGGCAAGAAGGCAGGGTGAGAACAGTGAGAAATAGGACTGGAGGAGCAAGAGAAGATATCCAGTACAGAGGCCAACCTTCCTGTAAGAAGCCTCAGCTAGTAAAAGAAAAAAGAATCCAACGCATAAATAAATGCAATTGATCCTCCTTATTTGCAGAGTCTATACTTACAAACTGCC